CAGATGACCCCCTTGGCCTGGAGGCCTCCCAGCTCCCTCCTGTGACTGCTCAGGACACTCCTGCCTCCCTGGCCCAACTGGAGGGCTGCGGTGCATGCAGGTGTGTGCGGGTCAGGTGCGGGGCTGGTGTGGGTGCGGTGCAGGTGTTGGGGCGGGGGCGGGTGCGGGCAGGTGTGGGTGCAGGTGCCGGCATGAGCATGGCGGGCGGGGACCTCCGCCGGCCGGCCAGCTCGCTGCCCTGCTCAGTCTGAGTTTCAGAAGCGGGTTCCTTGCTCTGTCCCTGCTGTGAGTCCCCCTCCAGATTCCTACATCGAGATCCTCATCCCAAACGTGGGAGGGGAGGCCTTGGGGGTGATCTGGCCAAGGGTGAAGCCTACAAAAACCCCGACAAATGACCCAGAGAGCGCCTCTGATTGCAGGGAGCACAGCAGGCTGCGCCCGCGAGGTCCGCCCCGCGGCCTGCTGGCCCCTGACCCTCGGCGTCGGGAACGCTGGGAACTGCCCGCGGCCTGTCCAGGAGCCGCGACTCCCGCCCCCAGCAAACCGAGGCTCCTGAGGTGGGCTGCGAGGCGCCTGTGGCGAGGCTGCACGGGGCGAGGGGCCGGTCCTGTGCCGTGCAAGGGCGCGGGGAGCGGGGGCTCTGGCCGCACGCGCTGGCCGGGCGCTCTCTGGGGCTCCCCGCTGCGCCCCCAGCGCGCACGTCCTTCCCGCGGGCAGAGGGGGTCCCGCCGGGCGTCGTGGAACAGGTGTCCTAGCGGGTCTCCGGCGGTCAAGAACCCAGAACAGAAAGCGCGGGTCGCCCTGGCTCGGTGGCTGCTGGAGGGCCAGCGACGCTGGTGGGAGGGCGGCTCAGCGCGGCCGGGGGCGGGGCGCGGTCAAGTAGGGGGCGGGGCCGGGGCCGGGGCCGGGGCCCGGGGGAGCCTGCAGACCTCGGGGCGGGGCTTGCTGGCCGCGGGGCGGGGCGGGGCTTCGGGAGGGGCCTGCAAGCCGCGGGGCGGGGCGGGGCTTGGAGACCGAGGGCCGGGGCGGGGCTTTGGGCGGGGCCTGCAGGCCGCGGGCGGGGCGGGGCTTGGAGGCTGCGGGGCGGGGCTTGGAGGCTGTGGGGCGGGGCTTGGAGGCTGCGGGGGCGCGGCGGGGCTGCGGGCGGGGCCTGCAGGCCTCGGGGCGGGGCTTGCTGGCCCGGGGGGAGGGCGGGGCTTCGGAGGGGGCCTGCAAGCCGCGGGGCGGGGCTTGGAGGCCGCGGGGCGGGGCTCCACTGTCACAACCTCCACCTGGCTGCGCCAACGTCCCCTGCTCCTAGAGCTCAGCGCGTGCTGCGGCGCTGGAGCTTATCATTTTCTGCGGATGCTGAGATGATCCTGTGAGTTTTTCCCTCAACAAGTGGTGTTGAGAACGCGGTAGCCATAGGGCAGGTCAGCGCAGGCGGAGCGCCCGCAGCTGAGACAGTCGCCCCCGCGAGGAAGCTTCCCCACAGCAGAGGGAGGGGAGTCACCCGTCCACAGGCCCCGCAAGAGGTGAATTTCCAAAATATACGAAGAACTCCTCTAGCTCCAGAGCAAAAACAATTCAAGTAAAACGTGGATAAAAGACTGGAATAGACATTTCTCCAAAGGAGACATACAAATGGCCAGCACATGCATGAACAGAGGCTCACTGTCACTAACCATCAGGGACATGGAACACAAAACAGCGATGATCTATCACCTCACACAAAAATGACCAAAAAAAAGAAAGGAAAAGAGAAAGAGAGAGAGAGAGAGAGAGAGAGAGAGAGAGAGAGAAGAAAGAGAAAAGAAGAAAGAAAGAAAGAAAGAAAGAAAGAAAGAAAGAAAGAAAGAAAGAAAGAAAGAAAGAAAGAAAGAAAGACAAAAAGTCAACCAGTGGTAGGTGAAGAGGTGGAGATGGTGGAACCCTTGAACACAGTTGGTGGGAATGCAAGATGGTAACTCCACTATAGGAAACAAGATGGAGCACACCCTCTAATTAAACATCGAGGTGTCATGTGATCCAGCAATGACACTTTGGGATATTTATTTAAAAGGATTGAAATCAGGATCTTAGATATCCTCATCAGCACCCCCATATTCACAATAGCCGAGATATGGAAACAAACTAAATGTCCATTGACAGATAAACGGATAAAGATAATGGGTATACCTACGGTGAAATACTATACAGCCCCCCAAAAGAAGGGAATTCACAATATACAACAATGAAGATGAACCTTGAGGACATTATGCTACATAAAAAGAGTCACCACAGAGGGACAAATACTGGTGACCCACTCACATAAGACACCTGAAATAATCCAATTCATAGACCAGAGAGCAGCAGTGGCCCACAAGGATGGGGACGGGGGCAGGGGGTGTAGTCAGGGGTTGGGGAGCTTCTAGTTGATAAGTATAAAGTTTCAGAATACAGGCCTCCCCGGTGGCGCAGCGGTTGAGCGCTGGGTTGCGAGGCTGCCTGCCTCTGCAGCGCCGGTTCGATCCCCGGCCGCCGGGCGGGGGTCCCACATGGCCGCAGACCTCTCCTGCCGCCCGCTGCTCCCCTCAGCAGTGTACTTCGTCCGTCTGCCTGCTCTTCTCTCCCCTACGACTCTGGTGAATTCTCTCACCCTCCCGCGCTTCTGACTGTACCCAGTGCTTGTATAAATAAATAAATCTTAAAAAAAAAATTATTGCTGTTTATGTGACATTCAAATGACGGGTCATCCAGTGTGTTATTTAAAAAAAAAAAAGTTTCAGAATACAAGAAGAGTTCTAGAAGTTGTGCCTGTAGTTAACAATCTGTCTTGTGCACTTAAAAAAAAACTAGGTAAGAGGGTAGATGTCAAGTATTCTTACCTCGACAAAGTTTAAAAAAAAAGTCTCCAGTAGACAGAGTGATGACATCAGCGCTGCTGAGGACATGGAGGAACTCACATCAGTTGGAATGTGAACTGGCAGAGCAGACTCTGGGAGAGCTTGGGCAGATTCCCGGCATGAGTCACACCCACCCTGCATGTCGTGTGGGGCGATGGGGCTGCATCCCCAGCAGGCCCGCACACACATGCTGGTGGCAGCTCATGTGCAACAGCAAACAGAACTGGCCCAGATGTGCCTGATCTGCGAATGGGCAAGCCGCTGTGGGTGCCCGCCGGCCGTGAAGCGCTATCAGCACCACGCTCAGCCAGCCTTGCCCTTTGGGACACAGAGCCCCTTGCGACACACAGCCCCTTGAGACACACAGTCCCTTGCGCTGAGTGCTGGAGGCCAGGCAATGCCAGCCCAGAGCTCCCGCCTCCGTCTCTGAGAGAATTCCAGAAAGTGCAACTTCCTGGCAGAAAGAGGAAGTGGCTGCTGGGGACAGAGATGGGGCCAGAGAGGGGTTGCCCAGGGCATGGGGAAGCTTTGGGGGGGGGGGCAGGCAGGCGCCTCCTTGCTGCACTGTCAGGGCTCAGGTATGTGAAGACTTGTCCGCCTGGCCCTGTGCACTGTCCCTCCACAGATCTGCGAAGGGAGAAGAAAGGGCCAGGGGCTCCTGACTCCACAAAGCAGCCAAACTGTTGACAAGTCCTCGCCTCTCATTTCCGCTTCCTCAAACTCCAGCGCAGACACCTGCTGGGGCTGTGGTGCCGCAGGCCCATGGCGTCCTGGGGCTCGGGTCTGGCCTCAGACGGGCCTTCCCTGTTCACGGTTGGCCCTGCTCCCTCTGGGCACTGCCGCGGCTCCTGCCCAGTCGGGTCTTCGCTGCTGACAGCCGGGCTCCAAGGGTGCGGGCCGCAGGTGTCTCCGCTGGCCTCAGGGGCCGCACACAGGCCATTATCCCACGTGAAACGAGTCATCACAGGACAAATGCTGGGTGACCCGCTCACATGAGGCGCCTGGAATGTTCCGATTCAGAGGCCAGAGAGCAGCGGTGGCCACAGGGATGGGGACCGGGTGGGGCAGGCAGGGGGGCAGCTGCGCGGGAGGCGCTCCCGCGCCCGCAGACGGGACCTGGGGCGTCGCTGTGCGGGTGGGGGGTCCCAGCCCCGGAAGGGCGAGCCCCGGCCAGCGCCCACTCCAGGCACATAGGGGTGCAGGCCCTGAAGAGGCGCCAGCCGGCCACGCCCTCGCGGAGCCCCCGTTTCTGTGGGGAGGGCACGAGGGGAGCGAAGCGCAGAGAGAGAAACGGGCTGGAGGGCGGAACCCGGGGTGCGGGCGGCCCCGCGCCCCTCCCCGCCCCGCCCCGGCCGGCCCAGCGCGCGGCGGGGCGGGCGGAGCAGGACGGGCCGCGGCGGCCTCGCGCGGCCGGGCTGGGGCGGACGCGGGAGCGCGGCGCCGTGCGCGACCTGCCGGGACACGTGTGCGTCCGGGGCGTGCGGGAGGCGCCGCAGCGCGGGGCGCAGGGCCGCGGGGTGCGGGGCCCCCCGCTTCCGGCGGGGCGCGCGTGTCATGGGCCTCCGGGCCGCAGGCGGCAGCAGCGGGCGGCGGGCGGCGGGCGGCGGGGCCGGGAGCGGGCGGCGGCCGCAGGTGAGCGGCGGGCCGGGGGCGCGGGCGCGGGCGCGGGCGCGGGGCGGGGGGCGGGGGGCGCGGGCCCCCTCCTGGCCCCCGCGGGCGCGGCCGGCCGGGCGGGGACGGGGGCGCCGGGCGGGACCGGAGCCTCGGGCGGGCGGGCGCGCCGGGGCCGGTGACTCAGCTGCCCCGGGGCCGCCGGCCGGGACTGGCCGCAGGTGGCCGGGTCCCCGCCCCCGCCCCCCGCCGCCGCTCGGGCGCCCGGGCCTCCCCGCGCGCCGGCCGGGCCTCGGGCCTCCCGCTCGGCCGGGCGGGGCGGGGCGGGCGCCGGCGAGGTCCCCGCACAGGCCCGCCGCGGGGAGGGCGGGAAGGAGCCGTTTGGGCGCGTCCTCCCGGGCCGCGACCCCCGACCCGGTCCCCTCCGGGGAGCCGGCCGGGCCGGGCGGGCGGGCGGGGCGGGCCGGGAGGCCGCCGGGCCGGCCGAGCTCGTTTAGCGGCTCAGCCGGTGTCCCGGTCCGCCCAGGCTGCCCCAGCAGCTGGCGTGAAATAGGGTCGTCCACTGGGCAGGGGGGGAGCTGAGGTGGGGGGCTGCCAGTCACTTGCTCCACACCCCACTTCTGAGCACACCCGAGACTGGGGGAGCAGCCGCCCAGCCCCGCCCCCTGGCAGCTTTAGGCGGGTGGCCCCTGCACCCAGGCCCCCCTGTGCCCAGGCCCCTGGGGCGCTGTCACCCTGGGACGGCCTCTGCTGCCCAGAGGTAGGCTTCAGAGCTGCAGCCCTGGGGGCACATCCTGGCCCCAGGGCTGGATCCTGCGGAGACCCCCACCCGCGGCAGGGCCGCCCCCACAGGTGTGAGGGGTCCCCCACAGGTGGTGGACACTGGGCCCAGCTCTCCTTCTTCCGACAGGAAGATCAGGAGGGGTCAGAGGTGATGCCTATAACTGCAGGTATTTCAAAGCAGACCCACTTCCCGGGGCGCATGGGCAGCCTGCTGGGCAGCCCCACCACCTGACCCTCTGACCTTGCTCCAGCTGTGGAGGGGCTGAGCCCTGTGGAGGGGCTGAACCCTGTGGTGGGGCCAGGCCAGCCCTTCCGTGGGGAAGGGGCCTCCACCCTGGCAGAGCCATGAGGTCCTGCAGCCTCTGAGTCCCCAGGCAGCTGCGGTGGGGACACCTCCTGCCTTGTCTGTGTCTGGGCCTGAGGCGGGGGGAGAGGGGGGCTATGTGCTGACCAGCCACATGGGGACCAGTGGGACCCAGGCACAGCCCTGCCAGAGCGGCCTGGATGACAGGCCCTGGCCTGTGGGGGCAGGCTGTCACCCCAGGCCCTGGCCATGCCCCGCTGACCCGCTCAGGGATGGTGACTTGGGGAGCTGTCGGGGACAGGGCAGTTCAGGTGGGCCGAGCGCCAGTCGGATGTCCTCACACTGGGCTGACCCGCGCCTGGCTCTGCTTGTCTCCAGCACAGGGGCTGAGCTGGTTTTGGGGGGAACTGGGGCTGGGAAGTCACACACAGACCAGCCTCTGGGGAAGGGCAAGAGGCCAGCCCCTGTGAAGTCCTGGTCTCTGCCGCAGGTGGGATGGACGGTCGCTATGGACCACGATGAGAGGCTGGCCCGGTTCCGGCAGGCCCACCTCAACCCCTTCGACAAGCAGCGCGGCCCTGGCCAGCATGCGCAGGGGCCCGGGGAGGCAGCCCCAGACATGGCGTCTGAAGGTGAGTGCTGGTGGCCCTGTGTGCTGTCTCCCGTGGGAGCTGGCTCCTGGGAGAGACCTTGCCCGTGTCCTGATAGTGAGCAGGGGACCGGTGGTCAGGGGAGGGTCTGGGCCAGCACCTCCCACGGCAGATGGCGTCCAGGGTGAGCACTGGCAGGTGCAGAGGGCCTGGAGTCACGGGATTTTGGGGCGACCCTTGTTTAGGGGCCTGGGCCCTGCCTTAGGGTGGGGGCTGCTCCAAGTGACCCGTGCCCCGGAGGCCCAGTGCTGGCCGGCCGGCCAGCCGCTGACTGTCTCCTCCACATGTGGACCCTGCAGAGGCCCTGCCGGAGCTGCCCCCCGGGGAACTGGAGTTCCGCTGCTGCCCAGAGCGCACCATGGACCTCGGGCTGTCCGAGGACCACTTCTCCCGCCCTGTGGTGAGGTTCTGGGGCTGGGCCGGGAGGGGCTGGCATACGTCCCCGCTTTGCTGGGGCCCGGGCCTGTGTTAGGGATGCCATTCTGTGCACTGGAGGGGAATCCCTCTGCGCCCCCACCCTCAGCCCCCCTGAGTTCTTGCTATTGCATGCCAGGAAAATCTTTTTTTTTTTTTTTTAAAATAAAAGGACTCTAATGATTTTTAAAAGATTTATTTATTTATGCATACTAGAGCTGGGGTACAGGCCAGAGATGCAGGAGGTGAGAGGATTCACCAGAGATAGAGTGGGGAGCAGAACAAGCAGAAAGGCAGACTGAATGAAATCTACTGCTGAGGGGAGCAGTGGAGAGACAGGAGAGGTCTCCCGCACCGTGTGGGTAGCTCCCTGGCTGGGGATCAAACTCGTGCTACAGAGGCTGCAGATTGCTTCATAGTGCGGTGCTTAACCCCTTGTGCCACCAGGGAGGCTCCTAAGTTATTGCAAACCATCTCCCACTGTGCTGGAGAGAAACGCAGCAACCTGGACAGGACTGCCGGGGCTGTGGGGGCACGAGGGGCCCTGCATCTGCTTTGTGTCTTAGTCGTTCCCATGGCCACTGGGCCTTCCTGGCCCCAGCTCCATGTCCAGCCTGGCAGCGTGGCCAACTGGGCCCTGCGACATCTGTGGAGGGGCGTGCCACTGGCCGCCTCAGCTCCAGCTTCTGTCCAGCCCCAGAAGTGAGACGGCTCAGCCAGAGAGCAGCTGGGCTCTCGGAGAAGGAAGACAGGCTGGCTCTGGGGGACGTCTTGTGTGGGGCCTTTGGGTCTGGCCCAGGCTACAGGGCCCCTGAGGTCCCGGCCCTCTGGGCAGGTGGGCAAGCATGCACTCCAGGCCCAGTGGCCCCGGGGCTTCTGGATGCTGGTCTGGACAGGGAGCGCCTGGCCTCTGCCTACTGTCCTTGCCTCGCAGGGTCTGTTCCTGGCCTCTGACGTGCAGCAGCTGCGACAGGCCATTGAGGAGTGCAAGCAGGCCATCCTGGAGCTGCCCGAGCAGTCGGAGAAGCAGAAGGACGCCGTGGTCAGGCTCATCCACCTGCGCCTGAAGCTCCAGGAGCTGAAGGTGGGCTCTGGCAGGAGGCCAGGTGGTCCCCCGCTCTCCGTGAGGCCCTGCGACAGCTTAGAGGGCAGAGCACAGCTGCCCTCAGGGTCCTTCCTGCTGCGGCTCTGCTGCAACCGCCTGCACTGGGTGGGGTTCCTGCCTAGATGGGGGGGGGGGTCCCAGCCTGGGGACTCACTGCCCACTCCTGGGCTGTCAGCCCTCTGTGGGGGAAGCCCTCTGTGGCTGTCAGCCTTGCTGCCTGGGTGGGGGTGTACCAAGCAGGGGCTGAGCCCCAGAGACCAAGCTACAGGCGGGGGGACCCTCCCCACGTGTCCTTTCTGATGCGTCCCTGGGTCCCCGCACTGGCTGTGAGTCCCGGGGGTTGGTGGGGTGGCCCCAGGTGGTGAGCAAGGCTGTGACAGTGCACCCCAAGAATGGTGGTATGAGGGATCCCCTGTGCAGTCACTTGGGTGGCCAGGGCCCCATCCCCCTTTCTGTGCTCCGTCCCTGGGGTGACACCGGCTGCGGCCTCAGCATATCTGGGTTGAGCCTGGCCAGCAGAGTGGGGCACACCAGGCGGTGCTGCACCTGCTGGTCTTCCATTCCCACACAGCGGCTGGGATGCTGGGGAGAACTCCCTGACCGTGGGGAGGGGCTCACATGTCCCTGCTGGCCCCCAGGACCCCAATGAGGAGGAGCCCAACATCCAGGTGCTCCTGGAGCACCGCTTCTACAAGGAGAAGAGCAAGAGTGTCAAGCAGACCTGTGACAGGTGCAGCGCTGTCATCTGGGGGCTCATCCAGACTTGGTACACCTGCACAGGTGCGTGCTGCCCGGGGCCCACTGCCCACTGCCCAGGGGCAGCTGTGAGCACTCATGGCTGCTCAAATCTGAGGACAAGGGGTGGCCGCAGCCACAGGAGGCTGGGCCCAGTCAGGGGGTACAGGCCTGCACGGAGATGGCAAAGGGCAGGGCCTGCCATAGGGAGCTTGAAAGGGTCCATGTGATATGGGAGTAAACGCTGGAGGTCAGGGGTGACGCATGGGGAGGTTCCCACTGTCTGCAAAGGACCCGCAGGCACATGTCTGGGAAGGCCCTGCCACAGGACTCTCTGCTGTGGAGCGCGGAGTGGGAGGGGCCCTGAGTGGCAGGGACTGGGCTGGGGGCATCCGTCTGTCATGGGAAGTGGGTGGCTGAAATCTGGGGCTGCAGGTGGTGTGTGTGGTGACCCGGGTGAGGAAGGGCCAGAGCCCTGAGTCGGCGGCCTGGAGTTGGGGGCATCAGGTGCTGAGGGCCTGGGGCCGGCAGAGCTGCTGGAGAGGCCCTGGAGGAGCTGGATTGGCCCCTCTGGGTGCCATGACAGGCCGGCTCAGGCTGCCCCCCACCCCCAGGGTGTTACTACCGCTGCCACAGCAAGTGCCTGAACCTTGTCTCCAAGCCCTGCGTCCGCTCCAAGGTCAGCCACCAGGCCGAGTACGAGCTGAGCATCTGCCCTGAGGCAGGCCTGGACAGCCAGGACTACCGCTGCGCCGAGTGCCGGGCACCCATCTCCCTGCGTGCGTAGCCGGGTGGGGGGGCCAGGCCAGAAGGGCCGGACGGGGAGGTCCTGCGGCCCTGAGTGACATCTGCTCAGGCCCTCGAGGGTCCAGCCTGTGGCCTGGGGAGGCAAGGCGCACTCAGCCGCCCAGGGCCGCTGTCTCCAACACCCGCATGGAGGGGCCCGGGAGCGGCAGCAGCCCCTCCCCGGCCGTGTCCCCCCAGGCATGAGCCGCGGCCCGGTGCTTGCTTACCCGGGCTCCGAGGAGGGCGGGGGCCTGGGGAGCCGGGCCCTCCCCGCGGGTGCGGCGTGCCCTGTGCGGTGCGCGGAGGATGCTCAGTGGGGCCTCCCGTCCCTCTGCAGGCGGCGTCCCCAGCGAGGCCCGGCAGTGCGACTACACGGGGCAGTACTACTGCAGCCACTGCCACTGGAACGACCTGGCTGTGATCCCCGCGCGCGTGGTGCACAACTGGGACTTCGAGCCGCGCAAGGTGCGGGCGGGGCGGGCCGGGGCGGGGCGGGGGCCATGGGGGCGGGGCGGGCCCGGTGGGCGGGGTGGAGGCCCTGGGGGGCGGGGCGGGCCGGTGGGCGGGGCGGAGGCCCTGGGGGCGGGCGGGGCCGGGAGCTGAGGCCATGGGGGCGTGGCCGGGCGGTGGGCGGGGCGGAGGCCTGGGGGCGGGGCGGTGGAAGGGCGGGGCGGCAGCGGAGGCCCTGGGGTGGGGCGGGGAGGTGGGCGGGGCGGAGGCCCTGGGGCGGGGCGGGGCGGTGGAAGGGGCGGGGAGGAGGTGTGGTGGAGGCCATGGGGTGGGGCGGGGCGGTGGCCCGGGCGGAGGCCCTGGGGCGGGGCGGTGGAAGGGGCGGGAGAGGGGTGTGGCGGAGGCCCTGGGGGCGGGGCGGGGAGGTGGGCGGGGCGGAGGCCCTGGGGCGGGGCGGGGCGGTGGAAGCGGGGGGAGGTGGGCGGGGCGGAGGCCCTGGGCGGGGGCGGCGGTGGAAGGGGCGGGGAGGGGGTGTGGCGGAGGCCATGGGGGCGGGGCGGGAGGTGGGCGGGGCAGAGGCCCTGGGGCGGGGCAGGTCGGTGGAAGGGGCGGGGAGGGGGTGTGGCAGAGGCCATGGGGGCGGGGCGGGGCGGTGGGCGGGGCGGAGGCCATGGGGGCGGGACGGGGAGGTGGGCGGGGCGGAGGCCATGGGGCGGGGCGGGGCGGGGAGGGGCCGGGCGGTGGGTGTGGCGGAGGCCCTGAGGGCGGGCGGGCGGCGGGCCCGGGAGCGCAGGCCTTGGGGCGGGGAGGCGGCGGGCGGGCGGGCGGGCGGCCCTGAGGGCCGCGCTGAGCCACCCTGTCCCCAGGTGTCCCGGGGCAGCCTGCGCTACCTGGCGCTGATGGTGTCGCGGCCGGTGCTCCGACTCCGGGAGATCAACCCGCTGCTGTTCAACTACGTGGAGGAGCTGGTGGAGATCCGGGTGAGGTTGGGGGGCCGCCCGGGAGGCGCCACCTGCGCGGGGCGGGGCCCTCGCCGGCCTGTGCTGGCTCCGCAGTCGCCGCGGCCCGGAAGGTTCGGCCTCCCCGCTGGTAGAGGGCGCAGGTGAAGCCACAGCAGGACCCGTGCCGGGCCGGGCTGGGCTGCAGGCCGGACTCAGCTGCTGCGGCGTGTCTTTGGGGTGCTTTGCGGTTTTTTCTTTATTGTGTGCACGGCGGCGGGAACGCTCACAGCTCCTGCCCCTCCACAGAAGCTGCGCCAGGACATCCTGCTCATGAAGCCGTACTTCATCACCTGCCGGGAGGCCATGGATGCCCGGCTGCTCCTGCAGGCGAGTCCGGGCGCGGCTGCTGCTTTGGCGCTTCTGTCCAGGGTCGAGGGGTCTGCACGCAACCGCGGCTCACGCGCAAAAATGCTCGTAGCCTGCACGCATGTGCCAGCTGCACCCTACCCGCAGGCCGATCTGACTGGCTCTGACTGGCTCCAGTAGGCTCTGGCCTACTCTGACTGGCTCCAGAGCTGCCCCTGAGAGCTGGCTCCCGGCCCCTCGAGTGAGCAGGCAGAGCCCTCCCCACCCAGCACCCCACAGGGGTGAGAAGCCCTCAGGCTGTGTGGGGTGCTGGGAGAAGCCCTGGCTGGTGGGGAGACCCCAGGGCTGGGGCCTTGTCTGCCCAGGGTCACGCCCCTCCCACCCCCGCAGCTCCAGGACCGCCAGCACTTCGTGGAGAACGACGAGATGTACTCCGTACAGGACCTGCTCGACGCACACACCGGCCGCCTGGGCTGTTCACTCACTGAGACCCACACGCTGTTCGCCAAGCACATCAAGCTGGACTGCGAGGTTGGCCCCAAGGCTGTCCTGCGTGGGGGGGGTGGTGTACGGGTGCCCCCAGCCGTGCTGACCACCCACTGTCATCAGCGCTGCCAGGCCAAGGGCTTCGTGTGCGAGCTCTGCAGGGAGGGCGACGTGCTGTTCCCCTTCGACAGCCACACCTCCGTGTGTGCCGACTGCTCCGCAGTCTTCCACAGGTCAGTGCGGGCGACAGGTGAGGGATGCAGGCCAGGCGCCTCTGGGGCAGGAGCATTGAGGAGGACGCTGGAGCTACTACTTTGCTGCTGCCTAATCTCATAGCCTTTTGTCTCTATCCAGAGTGCGGGGCGAGGGTAGCGGGAGGGGCTGGGGCTGCTCCCAGGCGGGGTGTATGTGCAAGGGGTGAGGCTGCTACACTCCCCCCTTCCTGCCACCAGTGGTGTTATTTTCAAACATTCCTAGGCCAGGAGATACTTGTATTGGAAGAACAGTGCACACAGGTTGGAAGCAGCCAGCTTTAATCTAACTTTTGGGTGGCGCAGGGTGTAGTCTGGTTGCAGGGGGGACACCCCCACCTTGCCCTGGGCCATCATGGCCTCAGTGGGCCTCTGGCAGATAGGGCTGCCAGCCTGCTGAGCTGGTTTTTATTGTCTGGCAGATGTTGAATATTGAGATGCCCCTTCAAAAGTGTAAAGGGGACCCCATGTTCCGGGAGGGGGCCGCACAGTAAGAGCGGGGCTGCCCTGCGGTGTGTGGGCCTCAGGAGGGGCGCCGGGGCCGGGCAGGCACCCCTGGGGCGCACCCAGTCTCACTGTCGTGTCTCCCCAGGGACTGCTACTACGACAACTCCACCTCATGCCCCAAGTGTGCCCGCCTGACGCTGCGCAAACGGTCCCTGTTCCAGGAGGCGGGGCCCGGCCTGGACTCCTAGATGCTGGCACTCTGCCCGCCTGCGTGCCCTGCTGGTCGTGGCCACATCGCAGTGTTTCTCCAGCCGGTGGCGGGGCGCAGCTCCAGGCCCGCCTCACTGCTGGGCGGGCTGCCAGGGCCAGGCCTGAGGAACGCCCTGGCCCCATGCTGGCTGGGAGCTCCCGGCAGTCTCCTGCTGTGGGGTGCAGCTGGGGTGTGGCCCCTCCCACCACAGACTCCCCGGCTGGGCAGTGGGGAACTTCCTGCCCCGTGGTGACAAGCCCCGGCAGCTTTGCGGGGGGTGGGGGGAGGTGGGGGGGTGTTGCTGGTGTCCCCGGCCCGCAGGTCCTGTGCGGTCTCGAAGAGCTTTGTGGGCCCAAGGATGCCAGCTGCACCCAGCTGCCTGGGCTGCGTCCTGCTGGGGGGCGCCTCCTTCTGGCACCTGGTCTCTCTGGGCCTTTGGCTGTTCTGCTGGCTCCAAGGGTCTCCCTGGCTCCCTGGGTCCTGGTTCTTTCCGGACAGTGTGGCGATGAGGAGCTCTTCCCTGGGCGATGGGCAGCTGCTCCAAACCACCTGGCTGCCCTGGTGCTCTGAGCTGGGTGCAGGCCCACCTCCAGGTGCAGGCATAGGTCGCCTGGGTGAGCTTCCAGGTTAGGCGAGAGGGTTGGCCATGGCCCGCCTGAGTAGCATTTCCCCAGCCGGATCTTCCACCCAGGGGCTCCCCAAAGGCCAGAGGCCGGCAGCCAGGAGCCTTCTCCCGGCGACCTGAGGTCAGGAGCCGGGAATATTTGCTCACAGAAGGCCTGGCTAGAGGTAGGAGGTACCACACTGCTGACAAAGGACCTCTGGTGGGGTAGGCCAGGATCCACCGGGGCATTGGGGGACACCCAGGACCCTGCCGGAGCATTGGGGGACACCCTCCCCTGTCGCCTGATGAGCCAGAGGGAGAGGGCAGCAGCCCAGGGGCTGATGTGTGGGGCAGCCAGCGTGTCGCCCGGGGAGCCCCATGCAGCCTGAGACATTCCTCTTGCTGCCCAGAACTAGGCACAGGTGAGCAGTGGACCCCGAGTGTCTCCAGGCCGCAGAGGCCCTGCCCTGATGTCCCTTGCCCAGGCGTGAAGGTGGTTCTTGGCCCCTTGCAGCCGACCACATGTGCCACTGCTGCGTCACATTTCTGCCATGGGGTGTTGGCCTTTCCTGGTGTACTGTCTGGTCCACGCCAATGGTTCCTGCCATAGTCGCTGCCCGCGGGAGCTCCCTTTTACCAATTCCTGCCCCCAACACTGTTCCTACCTTCCCCTCTACACAGAATCATGTGGGGCTTTCTGGGTCCACGGGACAGTGGCCAGAAGCCACGGTGGAAGCAGCTCTCTGGGCTAGCAGCCTGCAGCCCTGCTGTGACCACACCCGCTGCCCCTCATTAAACCCCGTGCTCCAGATGCGTGTGTGGTGAATTGGGCACCAGGCAGTTCGCTAATGTGCAGAACAGGCTCAGGCTTCTGGACCATCTGCAGCCTTCTCTCCCTGTGGGGCTGAGTCGAGTGGTCTGGGGAGAAATGAGCACCCCCTGGTGGGCAGCACGTCGGAGGGACAAACAAGCCTCGTGGGGTCCGTAGACTGGGGGCAGAGCAAAGCCATAGCCACTGACGCCACCCCAGAGCCCTCTGACCCTGCACTGGGCATGGCCTGGAGGAGGCCCAGGGCTGAGCAGCACTGGAACCCTGGGGGGCTGGCTGGACTAAGGCCCCCTGCCACTAGGTCTTGAGCCTCAAGACTCTGACCCTCCCAGATCACATCAAGCTGCACATTTCTCTGCAGATACGACCTGTAGTTTGACCAGATCTGGAAGGGGCTGTAACCCAGAAGTAACTGCTGCTCACCTAGGTGTCCAGCTGCTCACCTAGGCTGGGGCCACACTGCGGGCAGGTGTGGAGGGTGGCCAGAGGGTGGTGGGCTGTGAGCCGACACCAGTGCAGGGGTGGAGCCCTCTGAGGACAGAAGCTGAACTCACCCTGAGAAGCACATGGAGGGCTCGGCCCCTTTCCAGCCAGGAAGTGCTTCCATGTTCTTTGGCAAATTAAGAATTACACAACAGTGCAGGCCACCCCACGCCCCATCTGTCTTCTGGGCCCTCAAGTGCCCACATCGCCCCATTTGCTTCTCTCTCCTCCTGTATTTTCCTGAATGTGAGTTGCGGAGATGGTACCACCTGTCATCCTTGTGCGTGTCCCTCGTGTGTCCAAGCAAGGACACCGCCTCCTGGGCACACAGGGTGGGGAGCGGCCCCTAGACGTCAACCAGACCCACGACAAGCCTCACTCAGGTGAGCCCCCCAGGCCATGTCCAGCCCTCAATCGGGAGGGCAGGCGGCACTGACAGCAGGCTGGCTGCTGTGAAGACAACGGGTCACCAGTGTCTGCGGGGGACTGGGGCTGACCCCAGGGTTCGCACAGCGGGGGACGCAGTGTCCTCCACTGCACCCTTGTCCTGAAGGGGTTCTGGGGGCTTCCCCAGGCTTTTCTGCTACAAAGTTATACAACTTTGTGACTACCAGGTTTCTTATGGAAGATACTTTGAGACTATGTAACATCCGTAGTCCCTGCTTTCACCTTCTTCTCCAGGCTCTCACTAGAAGGGGCTGGTGACTTTCCACTCCTGTGACTCCCTCTGCATCTGGTGGTTGTCTTTTTGTTGCAGAGCTTTTGCTTCTCCACATTTATGGCCTATTTTACTGAGTTATAACCCTCTACTGCAACTATTTATTTTGATGCTCAAGTTGTCCCAAATTTGGTCAGTGGGAACATTTTCAGCCTGTCCTTAGGCACTCGTTTCCACAGCGAGGCCATCCAGGCTTTCCTGCCCTCTCCATCCCTGCCTGAAACCAGCCATCTCTCCAGAGTGCGAGTGCCTCTTAGTGGACAGTGGTATTTACTAGACAGGACATGGCCTGTCAACGTGCAGCCCTAGGAAAGTGTACCCTCGCTCTGTGTTCCCCCAGACTGAAAACCCATGAATTCATACCAGTGCTTCGAGCTTCAGCCCACTCCAGACCCACGGCTCCCCTCGCTTGGTCCCTCATCTTCCTTTATGGTGAATAACCTGCATCTGCTCTGCATTTGTTCAGTTGCTCAACCCTAGAGTGTGCAGCCAGCACTTGGAGCCTTGCGACCTCTGCCCCTATGAGGTCAGCCTGCTCACTAGAGCACAGCATCTCTTGAGACTTTAACCTGAGGGTATACAGTCAAACTGCTGTTCAAGATTTGGGTGTTTCTCTCCCTTTGTTGTGGGGAGAAATATGATGCTGTGAAATATGAATCTGTTTGTGTATTTGCGTATTTTTGCTTGTTTTATTAATCCTAAACCTTATTTTTGCTTGTTTTATTAACAAGTTTTCAAAGTCTGAATTTTACAGAAGTGAGTCAACTATTACCAGCACCCCCCCCCCCATTAGTTTCTGGTGTCTCCTTCCTGTGTTTCTTTTTTCACATGTAAGATATATATTTTATTTCCTCTTTTCTTCCACAAGAGGTAGCAGGCTGTACTCTCACACATAGCTTTAGTGGATCGTGTATGGTGGAAAGTGCTCATCAGTTAGCAGAGTTCCTCCTCACGCTCCTCCATCACCTCCAGGCCACCATGGGGGTTACTGTGCTGTGTCTGCTGCACTGGGTGCACATCCAGGCTGGCTGCAGTATTTGTAGCTACAGACAAGGCTGCAGCAAATCATCAGTGCGCATGTGTTCTCTCTTGGAGGTGTAGCTTCAGAGACAATTGTGAAAGTGGGAGAGGAGCCCTATTCCTTATTGGCGCACTGTCCCCCCACACTGCTGCACCGAGGGCCTTGGAGGACGCTTGTGTCCTGGTACATGCTGGTCTCACTGGGATGGCTTATGTGCACAAGCTTTCATTTGTATCTCTATGAGGGAGGTGGAGCTTCTTTTCACATTTTAAGGCCTGATTTACTTACATACAAATTATTTCTTTTGTGCACTTTTCTGTTGGATTTTGGTAGTTTTCCTCCACATTCTTAAGAATTTTTCAGGCTTATCAGCCTGTTATCTGTGAGATGTGGTGCAACTGTCTTCTCCCAATTTATCAAATGCCTTTGACCTTATTTGAAATGTTTACTCTTCTTAAAGAAAAGTTTTGGCTACATTTTTAATCGGCCCGACTGATTAAATTTTTCAACTGGATGTTGAGAGGATACACAGACCAGAAGACAACCTAAGACAGCTGCTGCGAGCGCCGCTTTTTCTCATTGTACAATTCTCTGTAGCAGTTTATTGCATTGTTGATTGCTTTGGAAACTTTTTGTTTCCACTCCTCATCTGAGCTGTTACTGGTAAGCACCTGCAAGCCAGCCTCAAAATGTGCGAGGGCTGCTGAGAGCGCCCCTGTGGTTAGCTGGCGCAGGGCTGGTGGGGCGTCCTCACTGTCCTCCTCTACCGCTCTCTCCTGCTCCAGCTGCATCAGCTCTGCATTTGAGAGATCTTTCTCATTCAGCTGCAGCAACCGGCCCACATCAGCTTCCACCAGCTGTTCCAGAGCCAGGCTCCTGGCCAGAGCCACAATGTCTTGTTGAAGCTGTGCAACATTATCTGTTTGGGACACATCATGGAACTGAACGCACTCAGGCCAAATCTTCTTCCATGCACTGTTAATTGTTGCTGGCTTGAGTGCCTCCCAAGCCGTGGCAATGTTGTCCACGGCATCTATGATGCTATAGTTCCTCCAAAACTCGCTGATCACAGCTGGATCCTCCTCATCTGTTGCTTCCAGGATGTGCTCAAAAGTCCTTCTCAGGTAATGAGCTTTGAAGACAGAGGTGACACCCTGAGCCATGGGCTGGACCGAGTCGGCGGTACCATTGTGGAAGTACTCCACCCTTACATTATCAGACAGGTCACTCAAGTTTACTGGGTGGCATGGCGCGCTGTCTAGGATGAGCAAAGCTTTGTTGGTGAGATGATTTTGGGCACAGTATTTTTCAATGGCAGGACAAAAAAAGTATGTGAACCACTCGTGAAAAATGCTCTTGGTTGCCCAAGCCTTTCTGTTTGAGCGCCAAATCACAGGCAGGTTGGGCTTGGAGTAGCCCTGCAGAGCCTTGGGGTTCTCCGTGTGGTATACCAGTAAGGGCTTCAGCTTAAAGTCCCCAGTGGCATTGCCTCCAAGCAGCAGCATCAAGCGGTCTTTGGGCGATTTGGAGCCTGGCTCGACTTTCTCCTTCACAGAGATAAATGTCCCTTCAGGCATTCTCTTCCAGTAGAGCCCTGTCTCCACCACATTGAAAACTTGCTGGGGGGTGTACTCACCTTCTCGGATGATGCTTCTCAGCACTTCCGGGTAGGTGTCCTTGTTGCCGGGAGCCGAGCTGCTCATCTTGAAGTGGGGCAAACAGTGGCGCTCCTTGAACCTCATAAACCACCCTTTACTCGCGCTGAACTTTTCTGCTTGAGAGCTCTCGCCGTGTTCACGCTGTAAGTCGTCAAACAAACTCCTGGCTTTTTCCTGAATAGCGGTGACACTCAGGGGCACGTTTCGTTGGCTCTGGTCTTCCAGCCACACGTACAACAACCTCTCCATGGTCTCCATGGCCGCACTTCGACGGCGAGTCAGCCGAGAGGCTCTCGAGGGAGTAGCTATGAGCGAACTCGCCTTGATCTTTTCTTTATTATCGCGGATTGTCGCCACTGTGGAGACAGCAAGGCCCAGGGCCTTTGCAATTTGGCTGAGCTTCTCACCCACTTCAAATCGCCGCAACACTTCGAGTTTCATGTCGAGAGTGATTGCTTTCCGTTCCCTCTTGGCACTCCGGAGAGCCGTCGCACCCAGGGGCCTTTTCCCCGGCATCTTTGCCTCCAGAATGTCATAAACCCCCGCAGTCTAGGGGCAGGGGCCGGTGGACACACGCAGTCCCTTGCCGCGTAGGGCCGCGAGTAGACAGACGTTCGAGCCCCAGCCGCGCTCCCAGGCGCAGGCGGGATGGTTCCGGAGCCACCGCGGCCGGTGTCTGGCGTCCGAGCGTCCGCACCCCGCGTGCAGAGAACAAACACCTAGGAGCCCGCCCGGACCCGGCGCCCCCGCTCACGCGGGACGCGCGGAAGGCGCCGCCCGGTCGCGGAACAATGACACGCAGCAGCGGCGACTAGAGCGCTTTGGGACTGCATGGCACGGAGGACCCCAGAAGGGGTCCCTAGAGATGCCAGACTTAAAATAAAACTAAAGGAACTGGGCGTTTTTCTCTCAGCACCCCGCCGAATCGGCCGCTGGGAGTTCTGCGCCGCCTGAGTCGAGCCAGACGGCGTTCATGTTCTGATCTTCAGGAGTCGGGCGATAGAGTAGACACACGCAGAGAGGTCCCCGGGCCGGGGCTACAGCGCATGCGCGCGAGCCCTCCTCCCGCCGCGGGGCCGTGGCGACACGGTGGCTCGTTTGCGCGGCATTGCGCGTGCGCGCGCCCGAGCGGCGCGAGTTTGGCGGCGGGGCGTGCGCCACCGGCTGGCGGCTGCGGCTGCGCCTCTGGTCGGCCTGTGGCGATGCCCCGGGGACGCAGGGCGCGGCAGGATGGCCGGGCCTGGCGCGAGGGCCGTGGCCGCCTTCGGGCAGGTGAGCGGGGACGCCACGTCCGCCGCTTCCGGGCGACGGCGGCGGCCACTCTGGAGCGGCGGTGACGCCATCCGGGAGCGCCGAGTGCGGGGCCGGGAGCCGCCTTCCTGCGCGTCGCGGCCTCGCGGGCCGAGCCCGGGGATCTTCGGCGAGCCCGCGACCGTCGTGCTGCGTTCGACAGCGCCCGCGGAACCCCCGCTCAGGACCCCCGACACACCGGGGGTGCCCCCTGCCGACACACGGGGAGTGACTTCTGCATCCCCCCAGCACACCCCGGGGTGTCCCCCTGTAACAGGGAGGTCCCCAGGAAAAGGGGAGGCCCCGGGTTCCCTGCCCCACCCAAGGGGGTGGAGCCGAGCAGGGAGGAGACCCCGAGAGGAGACTTGGGTGGGAAGGAGGGAGGGTGGGGAGCAGACGGGGCCTGGGGGAGGCCCGGGGCGGAGACGGAGCTGTGGGCTTCTGGTCCTGGGCTGGGAGGACGGCCGCCGCTGAGCCACGGGAGGAGGCAGGGGCAGCTTTTATCTTGATTCTGATGTTGCTCTTTTCCCCCCAGACTTGTCTGTTTTTGACCCTTTCCTGTGGGTCCCCACCAGGAGGGGCATTAGACTTGGGGCGGCTTTCAGGCCTCAGTGGCCCTGCTCTGGGCCAATCCTTTTGGGCTGGACTTTTACCCACGAGGGGACAGGTTACTTGGGGTGCTTGATTTGGAAACTCTAGTCTTCATCTTTTCTGTGCTGCACAGTAATTGTATTAAGGTTCCTTTCCATTAAAGGTCTGTATGTTTTGTTTTGATGCAGTGGGTGGCAGAACCTATTTAGAGCAGGCACGTTTGGGGGTTCTGGGGTGCCCCTCTCCCTGCCCTGTAACACCCCCTATTCATCACACCTGGGGGGTGCTTCCCCTTCTCTGTGTGTGTGTGCGTGTGTCTGTGTCTCCCCTTCCAACACACTGGGGTATTGTCCCCCATCGCATCCGAGGGTGTTTTCCCCCTCACACCCAGGGGTGCCCCCTCCTGTCACGCTGGGGGTATCCTCCATCATCCCCCCATCACACCTGGGGTTGTATCCCCTGCCCTGGCACACCCAGGGATACCCCTTACCCTGGGGTGTTCCCACCGTGAGCAGCAGGGCAAACCTCACCCTGTTTCCTGGGGGCATCTGGCTCAAGCGCCTTCCCCTGTGAGCACTTGGTGGCACTCCCCCACTTAGATGCTGTGAGTCCAGTTGCTCTTCAGTAAAGTCCTTTGCTGGGGGGGAGGGGACATGGTTGGGGGGAGAGTGCGGCTTCAATGTGCCCGTTGCTGGCGGCCTTTGGGCTGTTGGTCCTCGACGCCTGGGTCCAAGCAGTGGTGGGAGAAGGACTTCGGTGTGTCTGTCTTCAGGGTGATCTTGCTGCTCTCCTCTGCTCTCTGACGCCGCCAGCCCCATGCTGTGGCAGCAGCAGAGAAACAGGCCACTCATGTCCAGTACCTACTGGGGTCAGGAGCAGCTCCTTTTCATGTGGACCGAGAAGCTGCCATGACCCTGGGCAGACTGCCCGGCCCTGTCCCGGACAGGGGATTTGTGGGCCACGGACGAGGTGGCAGCACCTGCTCCAGAGATGAAGAATCCCGAGTGGCTGCATCTAGGGATGCTTGTGTTCTGGAAACGTCCACGCCATTATTTTGCTGTCAGTGGTTGCTGCGCTCTTCCTGCTATGTAGGGAGGACAAGACAGCAGCCGTGGCGTGCTGAGTACGCACCCGCTCCATGCCCACAGGCTTTGGGTGGCTCAGTAAAGCAGGGAAAGAAGCTTGGAGGAGTAAGGGGCTGGAGCCCTTGGAGGGCGCAGCAAGTTCGTTCCTGCCGGCTGCCTGTGTGCAGCTTCCTGTGTGCAGCTTTGGTGGTACCCGCCATCCTGCCCCGGGGCGCTGGTGGGGCGCTGGTGGGGGGAAGGCTGGGGGAGCAAGGTCTTCCTGCCTCCAGGAGCTGCCTTCTGGCTGGACGCACCCCTTAAAGTGCCAGTGCCGCCTTGCCTTGCGTTGGAGGGGAGGAGGGGAGTGTGGGTCTCTCTAAGGGTGGGGGAGGAACAAGGCCTGGAGGAAGTGGTGCCCCAGAAAGCCTCAGGGCCTCTGGGGTACACAGATCTGCCTGGCCTGGCTCCCATGGGTGTGCCTCCACAGCTGAGTCTCCCTCTGTCTTCAGGACGCGGAGCCCTGTGGATCGCACTCCTGGGCCTCATAGGTGGAGGGGGTGGGCGAGCTGCTGAGCTGTGCTCCCTGGGAGGGTCCCTGCTGGGCGCGGGGAGGGGGGTCCTCGGGTTTGCTGCAAGGGGAGCCTCTTGGAAGAGTCACACTTTCTCTCGACATCACTGCAGAGTCTCACTTTTCCCCGCACTCCTTTTGCTGCTGGCTTCAGGCTCTGGGCGGGGGTGCGGGGCTGTGAGTGTGTGTGCGTGTGTGTGTCCAGCCCATGCTCCCCACTGCCGCGACCTGTCCAAGTTCTGGGTTAGTTTCCCTGGCTCTTGTGGGAAATTTTACTCCAGTGTCTTTTCAACCCTTCGCTTTGGGACACAACTGTCGGGGCCCCAGCATCTGCATGGACAGTCAGGAGGTGCGGCTGTCCCTGTGCCCACCCTGCCAGCTCGCCCCGAATCTGCTGGAACAGCCACAGCTCCAGGGAGCTGCCCTGTGTCTGTCCAGTGTGCCGGGCGGGGACAGGGCCTAGGCTGTCTGTTCCCAGCTGCCCTCCTCTCCAGCCTCCAGAAGTCGGGCAGCGCCTTCCCTGGGCTGGCTGGGGCGCAGGGGGCCTTGCCTGCGGAGCGGCCCATGAAACTGCCCTCAGCTGGCGCGCTCTGCCGCTGGCCGGGAAAAAGCCACGTTGGCAATCACGGAGCTTGTCAGTTTCCCGAAGAATCCCCAGCAGTGTCGGGCGCAGGAGCCAGAACACCAAAGGCGCTGATTTCAGGAAGCGGGTGCTCGGGCCATGGCCACGGCAGCCTTGGTCACCAGCCAGGACAGGAAGTGGAAGTGGCGCTGGCAGAGCGGAGTCTGGATGCGGTGCACCTGGCAGGCCAGGCACGGTGGAAGCTGCTGTCCCAGACTCAGAGCTGGCCGGGGACAGTGCCCCCCCCTCCCGGCCTGGGGCTCCGGGCCCTGTGGAGAGCATGCGGCTCCCTGGGGGTGGCCATTCCTGCTTCTGTGGCTCCTGTCCTCGGCTTGACAGCTCTTCAGCCTTTGCCTTCGCTGCTCTCTGATCCAGTCTTCACTTTGGTCTTCGAAGAAACAGGCCTTTTTCAGTTCTGTTGTATTAGTTATGTCACTAAAGGGGACACAGATACATTTGGGGTCAGATGCAGCCTCTTTGTGGGGCTACCGCCCGTGTGGGGGGCAGTCCAGCCTGGGGCCCGGCCATCTGCTGCTTGGCTGGTCTGCTGGCCTTTTTTGGACCCTGAATCTCCAAGGGCCCGGTGGGGCTGAGTCCCTCCTGGGGAGGGCAGCTCACAGGCCCTTTAGGCCTCCTGAGTCTGGCCAGCTCCTCCCCACGGTGCCGCTGCATACTGCTGGCCACTGCCTGACCACTGAGACCCCAGGGCTGAACAGAGGCCACGACTCTTCTTCACGGTCCTGGCTGTCAAGGGGCAGAAAGTGTGGGAGCTGGACACAGGAGGTGGGGGGGAGGCTGTGGCAGCAGGCAGGGCAGGGAGGTGGAGGTTGGGTGGCAGGTGTGGGAGTAGGGGAGGACGGCAGGCAGGGGCTGTAGTGAGGGGGAATGGCAGACCAGGGCCCTCTCATCAAGGAGGGGAGCTATGTGCACAGATGTGCTTCTGTCTGGGTCTCAGATTCTTTCATGTGCTTATATTTGTGGGGGACCCTGAATGCCAGATGGTGGGGGAGCAGCCCAGTACCTTACCTGGAGGGGCCTGGGTCAGGCCAGCTTCCCGGTGCCACCTCCCTTGAACTGGCTGCATGTGGCCACGTGGATGGATGGGGTGGGCAGTGGAAGGCTGAGGCCCCAAGTGTTTGTGGGGCCCAGGGACCCAGCATCTTGTGTTTGATGTGAGTGTCTCATTTCTGGTTTTTGGTGTTTTTTTTTTTTTTAAAAGATTTCATTTATGCACACAAGAGCTGGGGTACAGTCCAGAGGTGTGGGGATGAGAGCACTCACCAGAGTGGGGAGCAGAACAGGCAGCTCCACTGAGATTCACTGCTGAGGAGAGCAGCAGGGAGACAGGAGAGGTCTGCTGGCCATGTGGGCAGCTCCCTAGCTGGGGATGGACTCAGGCAGCAGTGGCTGGGCAGTGGCTGGGGATAGCTTGATGGCGTTGAGACTTCAACCCCTGCACCACCAGGGAGGCCCTGAGCCAGCAGGGCCTGGCCTGCGGCTCCTCTGCCCAGGACAGCATGGGGGACCCCTCCTCTACACTAGTGCACTGCGGGCAAAGTCAGCCTGGGCCTACCAGGTGCCCTGTCCATCACCCTGTGGTGCCGGCAGCCTGCACTGGGGTGGGGGGCAGCCCCTCCGTCGTGTTGTATCCCTTGGGCGGTGGCTGTCAAGCACCTGTTACTGGGCAGGTCACTGGGGCCTGACGACCTGACAAGGTTCAGGCAGGACCCCTGGGTGGTGACATCAGGGGTGTCAAGCCTGGGCTCTCACCCTCCCCCTGCACCCAGACGCCCCCCCCCCCCCAACCCTGGCTGCCCCCTCTCCTCCCTCCCACACCCAGCGCTGCTCAGAGCCAGCAGGCAGCTAGGATCAGAGTGGGGGTTTGGAGTCTCTTCCTGTGCCACTGCCCGCCCTGCTGAGGAGCCTCCGGCCCCGGCCAGTGCAGGGCTGGGGCTCCAGGCCACTGCCTCAGAGTATCTGCTGCCACTGAGCCCCAGCAGGCCCTATGTGGGCTGCCGCTGGGTGCTGGGGCTCGGCTGTGCCTGCCAGGCGGGTGACGGGGGGAGGGTGGGGGAATGCCTGCTTACCAGACCAGACCCTAGGACTTGGTAGCTAGTTTGCTGGTTGCTTCAAAAGTCAAGCGCGGGCCCTGCCAGCCCGGGGCCGCGGCGGGGCGCTCGGCCGGGAAGGGGCGCGTGCGGGCCGGGCCGTCCCGGGGACGCCGCTCGCGCAACAGGCTTGTGGGTGATGGAATGAAGAATCCTTCCATTGTTGGAGTCCTGTGCACAGATTCACAAGGACTTAATTTGGGCCGCCGTGGGACCCTGTCAGATGAACATGCTGGGGTGATATCTGTTCTAGCTCAGCAAGCAGCTAAGCTAACCTCAGACCCTACAGATATTCCTGTGGTGTGCCTAGAATCAGATAATGGGAACATTATGATCCAGAAACATGATGGCATCACAGTGGCAGTGCACAAAATGGCCTCTTGATGACCCAGGTCATCCCTGCAGCAGCCTGCCACAGGCACTAAGCGCTGACATGTGTCAATCATCTTACACAAGTATTCAAGTTCCGGTAGTTAGGCCGTCTATTTAATGTACATTGGGCACTTCTAATTTTAGAGTAAGCTGCTTTTTGACACTCTATAAACTATATAAAATGTTAGTGTGATGCTGCAGGGGGCCTTGCTGCCCCAACCATGTAAGACACTGGCAAGCAGCTAAGAAAAAGGGCCTCACACCATGGGGCCGAAGATTTCCAAAGAGCCTCACACTGTGGGGCTGAAGATTAATCTATAACCTATAAGCATCCCTTTGTTTTTTTGTTCTTGGTCATATAAGAAAAAACTTCTCAGAAAGTACATTGGGCAATAAATTATACGTGTAGAATACTGTAAGTAAATGGCACTAAGAAATACCTGCTTAAAAATTAAACACTGTAAATTTGGCCTGCCTGACAATGGGAATGAATTTTGTTATACATGAGCATGCCTGACAAGCAACCCAGGACAACAATTATAGTAAATCCTTCTTTTGCTTTTTTTTCGAAGTTTCTTAGGAAAGTTTTTAAATGAAGTTAACTGTATTAAGAAGTTTCTTGGTAGAAAACCCTGCTAGCTGATAACCAGAAAGCAGCTGGTCTCCAGCTGAAGGCCATATGAATAGAAGAGTCTTTTGATGCTTAGGCTTTAGCTGATAGGAGTGTACCGACGGCTATTGGCTGTCTTAGGTAATTGCCTAAGCTAAAATAATGAATTTTAGTGTAAGGTTTATTTTTTTTTATCTATTAACCTTGAAGGCTACTATCTTGCTGAGACCCATAGGAGCCAGTAGTACATGGGAAAAGAATATACTGATTGTTTCTGCTCTGCTTCTATGATGATGTAATTTCACTGCTTGCTAAAAATGAATAAAGACCTGCTGAGCCCCTCAGTAGAAGAGACTTGCACCTCAAAAAAAAAAAAAAAAAAGTCAGTGACAGCCGGGGGTGAGTGCGCCCCACTCCCCTTGCCTGAAATGTGTCCCCCAAGCTGTGTCCTGCCGTTCCCCTAGGCCCAGAACGGTTGAGCTGCCTGGTTCCCCAGGCCTGGCCCTGCCTCTGCTGCCGGGGGCACAGACCAGCCGGGGTCCCGGCCACACCTGGGCCACTCCTCCTGCCCCAGGCTCCTCAGGGCATGGCTCCTGGGTGGTCCTGCCTGGCCTGGCTGCTGCTGCCCCCGTTGTGGAACCCGCCCGGCTGGCGCCCCTGCCTTCTGCCCAGGGACTAGAAATCCAGGGCGTCTGTCCTCGAAGAGTGACCCAAATATGCAGCCTGGGTGCGGCCCCAGCACCCTCACCTTGGGCTCAGCTGGAGAAAGGACTGGAGTGGCCCCCACGAACCCCGGAACTGTCAGCCAGAAAGGAGGAGATGGGTCAGGCCTCAGGAAGTGATGTTTAATCCCCCCTTTTGTAAGTGAGCCCCCAGCCGCAGGAAGACCCGGGAGCCTGCAGGGCACACGGCCGGCCTGGAGAGGAGCGCATAGCCCAGGCGGCTGTGGGCAGTCATGTGGCTTCCGGCTGTGGGAAGGGCTGGGGCTGGGACGGAGGCGAGCTCACGCCTTTATTCTAAAGCCGTCAACTTGCTGTGCGGCCAGGGGCCCATCCTGTCCCTCAGGCCACGAGAAGCAGCATTGGGGGCAGTGGGGTTGTGCCTTGAGAGGGCTTGGGGCTGTGTGCAGGCACCGGGGTCCCCACCCAGGCAGGGCCGCGGGGTCCAGACCAGATGTGTGGCGGGGCAGGCATGGGGCCAGGCCTGTAGCCGCCGTACTGGCCACAATGCTTGGCTGGGCAGCAGTGTCCCTGGGCTGGGGCCCGGTGGCCGTCACCCCTGCCCGCGTGGGGGTTCTGGGACAGAGCACCAGTCTCGTAGACAAGTTTCCAGAAGCCCAGGCCGCTCCGCTTCAGTCCTGGGCATGGTCCCGGCACGGCCCTGGAGGAACCAGAGCAAGGCCGCTGGGCTGTGCTTGTGCCGACCCCCGGGCCGCAGCCGCCTAGTCCTCCTTGGGCCTCTCCACGGTGAGAAACGTGTCCAGCACCGCCGGCTGCCGCTGGGGTTCCCCAGGAGGCTGCTTTTCCCGGTTCTGCTCGGCCCTCGTATGTGTCCAGGATGGGGAGCGGAGGCAGCCTGCCCGGGGCAGCGGCTGCAGGCCTGGAGGGACAAGGGGGCCATGAGGCTGGGGTGGTCACTGACAGCCACTGAGCCGGCGGCAGGGGCTGACTCCCCCAGGAGGGCCCTCCCAGCCCAGTGCTGCCCACCACCCCCTTGGTCCTGGGGTCGCGGGGCCCAACCCCTCTGGTCAGCGCCAGCCCCTGTGCTCAGCGGCTGGAGGCCAAACCCACCAGTGGGGACTCCATGGCAAGTCTGGGGGAGGGGTGGTGGCCAGGACAGGAGCTGTGTGGAAACGTGAGGACATCGGGCCTGAGGCTTGGAGGTGGATGGCTCGTGGGTCAGTGCCCGCCCTGGGCCTACCTGCCGGGGTGTCACCGGTCTCATCATCCGAGTCAGCGAAGACCTCGGCCAGCTCCTGGTCGGACATGTCGGCCAGCTCAGCGAGGTCCAGGAGGTCGAAGTGCACCTCCAGGGAGGAGACGCTGCTCAGGGGCTCTGCGGGCGGCGGTGGGTCAGGGGGCCACGTGCCCGCCCCGCCCAGGCAGAGCCCCACGCCCGCGTCCTGGTGCCCGCGGCCCCGTCTGTGTCACGGTGGTCTGGGTGGGGCGCCGCGCCCCCCACCAGGGCTCCCCACCGGCCTGCTGGGCCCGCGACACGCGACTCACGCCTCCTCTCGGCGACCTGCAGGAGCCCGGGCGCTGGTGTCGGGACAGCTGCGTCCTCCTCCTCGGCCTCGGGCACGGGGCAACGGTCCCTGGCCCCGGGAGCAGCAGGTGGCCCCCCGGTCTCTGTCACCACGTCTGCAGCAGAAATCGGTGTCCAGGGAGGCCCACTGGAAGGGGCTTGGTGCCAAGAACTCTGGCGGGCAGTGGCTGGTGCACCCCCGTCTGCCGCTCAGACGCGGGGTTCTGGGTCAGCTGCACCCCCTCGCCCCTCACACCCAGCCCGCGTGGCCTGTGACCCCCGAGCTGGCCTTGGCATGTTACGAGGGCCGCGTGGGGGCCGCCTCGCCGCCCACCCCCTTGTGCCCTGCCCAGGTCTCCAGCGATGTTCTAATGGGCAGTGCAACTGCCCAGCTTTGTCGCCAAGGCTGTCTTGTCACTGAGAGTGGCCGACACCATGCGGGCTGTTTTCTGGGGCAGGCTCCCACAGACAGGGGCTGTTCTCTGCTCCCCTCCTGTGCGTCCTGGGAATCCAGCTCTTCTCCCCACCCAGCAGGCCCTGTAGTTCTGGCTGCCCACGGAGCCTTGTTGCGTGGCGCCGAGCAAGGAGCAGCTACCTTGAGTGCGGCCCAGGGGTCCGTCTGACTGCTGCCCTGGGGTGGCCCACCCCAAGCCCCCACGCCTGGCTGGCCACGCTGGCCCCCCAACCCCTCCTGGGAGCAGAGCAGGCCTGGGCCCCTGGGTCCTGTCCCACTGGTGCGCAGCTTTGGCCTGCAGGTGGCGAGGGCAGTGATGGGCCTGCTCTGGGCTGGCAGGGCCTCCCGTCTGCTTAGACCGCTGCCAGTGGCCCTGGGCCCTGCCTAGGGCAAGCAGCTGCTGGGCGTCCATGGGCCACTCACAGCCTGCAAGGCAGGGCCGAGCTGGGACAAACCCCTGAGCTGGCCGAGGTGGCAGAGGTGGGTCCTCATGCCCGGCCTCTCTGCGGGGCACCCCCATCCAGCACTCGCACTGGCTGCCTGTAAGGCCTGCAGGGGTGGCGGGGTGCCCATTTCGGGGGATCCTGCCGATGGAGCTGGGCCTTCCTGGGTGGCACCACAGAGGCCCTGAAGGGCACACATCCGAGGGCTGGCAAAGCCCTGGGGGTTCTGAGCAGCAGGGGCGCCCTCCGTCCGGTGCAGGTGGCAGGGAAGCAGCCTTGGGCAGCAGCTAAGCCAGGGCTCGCATCCCACCTGCTTGGGCAGCCCTGCCGGAAGCTGTCTCATTGCTTCTGTCCCTGAGCTGCGAGGCGGCCGGCCGGGGGTCTGGGGTTCTTTCTGCCCCTTGTGGCGGTGGGTCTGTACTTTATTTGGGGATGTGCAGGCCTATGAGGGCCGAGGGGAGGGGGCCAGCAGGGATGCACCACATGGTCTTTGGACACGGCCTCTGGAGGGCGTGCAGTGGGCAGCTACAGCAGGCCGGGGCAGCGCCCTTAGCCACGCGGCTCTGCTCACACGTGGAAGGAAGGGTGTGTCCGCAGTGCCCCTGCAGCCCAGCCCAGTCGCAGGGCCCAGGTGGGCCAAGTGTCAGTGGTCAGTCAGCACTCGATGGGCAGAGCTGACCCCTGCTGCTGGGGTTGGCCTGGGCAGGGTGCGGAAGGCAGCTGGGTGGCCAGGCCAGGGGTGCAGGGCTCCTTTTCAGGGTGGTAAAACTACTGGAATTGGGGGTTGTGGCAGCACCGCCACTGCCTGGCACTCAAGGGCGAGCTGGTGGAAGGCGAGAAGGGTGCCCGCACAGACCAGCAGAGGGCCAGGTAGGCCAGGGCCGAGCCCCACAGCCTGGGGGGCACCTCTTGAGGGCAGCCCAGTGTTTCAGGAGCTGGCTGGGTGCTGGTGGTGGTGGGGCTCAAGTGGGGGGTGCTCGGCAGCTCGCGCTGGCAGAGGCATGAGTGTTTCTGGGGCCCCGGAGGGCCAGGGGAACGCAGCCCCACTGGTGCAGGCACCGGGGCAACATGGGGAGACGTGTTGAGCCCCACGGGCCTCCCCGGTGGACACTAATGTGCGGACAAGATGGGGTTACCTGGGCTGTCCTACTTTCCAGTACATTCATGCCGAGAGCATGGCCCACATCTCGGGTTCCCTGCCGGCACCCGGGCCTCGCCCAGCACAGAGCAAGAGCGCCATGGAGGGAGGGGTGCTGCGGGGCCCCAGGTGGGGGCCCCCTCGGCATCCAGAGTGGCCCTAGGCTAACCCTCTGTGGGCAGGGTCCCGGCCTGGCAGGAGGGGCTGGGCCTGGGGTCTCTCCAAAAGTGCACTCCCTCAGTTCTGGAGCAAAATTGTTCTATCAAAACCTTGGGGCCTTCTATCAAAAATTTTGGGAATCTCACAGATGAAATGGCTATATTCGCCACAAATTTCTCCTGAGGAGAGCTGGTGGGTCTGTCTGTCTGGGGCCGGGCAACGTCTGGTCTGTGCCCACACAGGCATGGCCACCTGCGGGTGAGCTTGGGCCCGCAGAGCAGACCCCAGCCCACATCAGGGAGCTGCCGGTTGCTGGACCCCGCTGGGTTGGGGCTTCAGTGCAGGGGCTGGGGGTTCTCACGCTCCTCCCCCAAAGGCTTTCCCTCCACTGTCTTAGGGCACACAGAGCCCTGGGGGGAGGGGCGTGTCCCTCGGAGGAGGCCCCTCAGCCCTGGGGACCCTGGGGAGGGGCGCTGGACTGTCAAAGGTGAGACCTCAGCTGGACCCGTGCGAATGGGTGAACAAAGAAAGCGCCCCCCGCCCCGCCCGGTGTCTCCTGGTGCTTGGGGGGGGGCGGCCCTGACATCTGCCTGCCCACCTCCCACTGCTCGGGGGCCAGCCCTCGGCCCCAGAGCAGGCTGGGCTTGCGGCTCCCGAGGGCTCCCTGGGTGGGGCGGGGTCTCCACACCCCCGATGCACTGTGGTCTGACAAGGGCGTGGGGTGTGCACGGTCTGCATCCAAGTTCCGTGGCGGATGCGCCCGCAAAGCCTTCCGGAAGGGGTCTGGGGGGCGGGGGTGTTCCTAGAATGTTCCTCGCGTCCGCAGAAGCCTCCCCGCCGGGGCCAGACTCCGGGGCGAGGCGCCCCACGGCCGCCGGGAGCGGAGCAGGGGTCACCCCGCGCGCACCTGCCCGCCCGGACGCGCGCGGCCCCGCGGGCGCCCGGCCCCGGAGACCCCGTCTCGGCCCTGGCGCCGCGGGATGCGGCCGCGGCCTCCGGGCCTCGCCCCCGGGAGCCGGGCTGGGCGAACAAAGCGGCCGCGGCCGGGCGCCCCCACGCCTCGCGGGCCGGAGCCCGGCGGCGGCCCCGCAGCCCCACCCCGACCCGGGACGCGGCTGGGGCTTCGGGGCGAGCTCGGGCCGCCCGCCCGGGGCGCGCCGGGCTCGCCGCGGGGCCGGCCGAGCGGCGAGGGGGCGGGACGCGCTCGAGCGCCCCCCGCGCGGCGCCCGGCCCGGCCCCTCCCGCCCGGCCGGCGCGGGTCTCGGGCGGCGGGGGCGGCGCGCTCGGGGCGCCGGGCCGCACTCACCTCTCGGCTTGGCGCCCTCCGGGGCCTCCATGCGGCCGGCGGGGTCGCCGAGGCGCGGGCGGCGGCGTCTCCCGGCCCGGGCGCCCCTGCAGCTGCGGCGGCGGAGCGGCCGGGGCTCCGCGCAACATCGGGGCAGCAGCCGGGGGGCCGCGGCGGCGGGGAGGAGCCCGCGGGGCGGGGCGCGCAGCTGCTCGGGCCCGGCTCCGGCTCCGCCCCGCCCGCGGCACAGGTGCGGCCCGCCCGCCGCGCGCCCCCGCCGGCCCCCCGCCCCGCCCCGCCCCGCCCCCCGCCCCCCCCCCCCGGCCCGGCCGGGCGACCCCTCCCCGGCCCCTCCCGGCCCCTCCCCGCGACCCTCCGGCCCGGCCCTGCCTCGGCCCGGCTCCGCACCTCGCGCGGCCCCGCTGCCGCCCGCCCACTTCGGGGGCGTCTGGCGGGGCCTGGAGGGCGCGCGGACGCGGAGGGAAGAGGCGCTGGCCCCGGGGTCCCGAGCGACAGCCGCCCCGACCGCGGAGGGGAGACCCCGGGGTGGGGGTGGGCGGGCCCGGCAGTGGCCGGGGCCGGCGGGGTCTGCGGAGCTGAGGCCTGAGATCCGGGCGGGGAGGGGGCACAGGGAGGGCAGGCCCGGGGGCCGGCCGCTGGCCCCAGCCCAAGACATGCACGTTCCCTGTCAGAACCGCCCCAGCAGCCCGGGAAGGATGTCCCACTCCAGCTGCGAGCAGGGGCGGCCCTGGGGGGCCGGGGGTTTGTTGGAGGGCCCTGCGCGGGCGCTGTTGCCCGGCAGCCCCGGTCACTGCAGCGAGGCGGCCGGTTTGCAAAGCGCATGAAATAAAAAACTGCTGTTTGCCACCCTCTAAAGTGACGGCCTGGGCCACTAGGACAGGCCTCTCAGCAGCGATGGCCTCTGGGGACGAGGCTGTGCTGCAGGGTGGGCGCTGGGCAGCAGCAGCCACTGTCCTGCCTCGGGGGTCGGGGCAGTGGGAGGGCATCGGCTGCCTCCAGTATGTCCTCAGAACGTTCCCAGGAACGGTTCCAACTCGATGGCTTCCAGAAGCTTCCATTCCCTTCCATACTCCTGCATGAATCTGCGGCGGCCCTGTCACTGGAGGATGGCAGGGCAAGGCTGTGGCTTCCAAGGCTGGCCAGACAGGGCCACCTCTGCTGGGGCCGGTCTGGCCAGACCCAGGCCCTGTGCAGGCAGGCGGGGTCGGTGGCCGGGGCCTGGCCAAGTGACAGAGCTGGCAGACGCTGTCACCATCAAACTCCAGTTGGCACTTGTGCAGGTGCGGCAGCCGTGCCAGCGACTGTGGGCTACCGGTCATCCCCACTCCTGAGAGGATTGAGTGGACAGAGGGGCAGGGGTGCTGCGGAGAGGCGCACGCTGCCTCATCTGGCTCCAGAGCCAGTGAGTATGTATTTTGACTTTTTACTAGGAAGATTTTCAAGCAGAAGTATAGAGACCAGCAAAGGTCACCCGTTGTGCCTGTCGCCCAGAGTCAGTGGCCACTGCTTCTCCCTCCAGGACTGGTGACTCCTGCACACGCCCCGTGATTGCACTTGTAGATGCTCGCTGTGCTGTTTATATCAAGAACGGGGCCCGTCTGCTCCTCCTGACCCCCAGGTCTGCTCGCGCCGTGCCATGGCTCTGACCTGCACAACCAGGAGGCGCCGAGGCCAGAGGTTTGTGCAGAGGGACATTTGCCTGTGGTTCTGCCGGGGACTCGGGTCATTCACTGGGGCTCCCAGCCGCACAGCTGGACGCGAGTGTGGACTCTTCGGCCACACGTGTGAACAAAGGGCTTTGCTAGAATCTCCACGCAAGTCTGCATGAGAAGCAGAGATGCGCGGCCTCACTGGGCCAGGCTGACTTAGCTCTGCGGTCCACCCCAGTGAGACCACTGGCTTCTGTCAGCCGAGGCCTGACCCCTCCTGACTTGGCCCTCCCTTCTTGCCCCTTGCCCTGGAAGGAATCATTGCTAATGTGTTACTGTGGTTTAATTCAGGACCCCAGACCTGCAGCAAACACCAGCCAGCGCCACTGCCTGGCCATCGGCCTGCAAGGTCGGTGTGGACAGTGCTCCCCGGGTCTGGGGGCCCCTCTGGGGAGGGGGTCTGGTGTTCAGCGGTGGCAGCAGCAGACCCCACAGAGGAGAGGCCTCGGGGCCTGCTGTCAATCGGGCAGCTCCCTGTCCCGGGGGTCTCCCCGGGGACCCAGCGGGGCCTGGGTGTCTGGTCAGGCCTGGGCCCGGGTGGCCCCTGCGGCCGGCGAGCCCCGCGGTAGCCCCTGCGTGAGCCAGGCGGACAGTCCTCCGGGCCTTGCTGTGCCCAGAGCCTCTCTCCAGGGGGAGGAGATTCTGGAACCTTCTGTGTCCCCAAACAGACGAGGAGACGCACCCGCCGGAAACCCCGTCCAGGGGACGCTGAGGTCCGGGCTGCGGGGAGGACACGCGGGGCGCGGCCGGCAGAGCGGGACGGCGGGGGCCGCTGGGCCGTCGGGCCCTCGCGGCGGGCGGCGCCTGCTTCGGCAGCGGCCCCTGCCCGCGCAGACCCGCGCCGCGCGGACGCCCGTCCCTCCGCGCGGCTCGGGCCGCGGGGCTGGGCGCGCCACCCCGGGGCCGCCGCGTTGCTAGGGACGCGCTGCGGCCGGCGGGCGGGCGGGCGGGCAATCTCGCGAGGCGCCGCGGGATTTCGCGCGGGGCCGCCCGGCGTTGCCAGGAGACGGCGCGGCCGCCCGGCGCGCCAGAGCGCGGGCACCGCGGCGGGCGGACGGCGCGGCCATGGTGAGCGGCCGCCGGGCGGGGCGTCGCGTCGCGCTCGGGGCTCCTGGCGGGGGCGCCCGGGCGGGGCCGTCGCGCTCGGGGCTCCTGGCGGGGGCGCCCGGGCGGGGCGTCGCGCCCGCGGCCTGTGCCCGCCGACTCCGGGCGCCGAGGCCGGCTCTGGGGTCCCCGTGCGGGGTCCGGGCGCCGAGGGCTGGTGTCTCGCCTGCGGGGGGGCGCCTGGCTCCCAGCGGCCTGGGCCCGCCGGCGCGGCGGGGCGTCCCGGGGGCGCGCAGCAGGGGCTCCGCCGCGCTCCCGCACCCGGGCCCGCCGGGGTCGTGGGGGCGTCCAGGGAGGGCGGCCGGTGCAGCAGGCTCCCTGGGCCCTGCGGTCTCTGGAGCGGAGCCTCGGGCTCAGGGGTGTCTGGCGGGTCCTCTACGCCAGCGGGATCTGGGTGGAGGGCGGCACCCAGGCAGAGCCCCCGGACAGGACCCGCTGCCCCCGGGGGCCCCTCAGGAGCGCCTGCCTCCCCAGCCCCCTCCCTGCCCCCCTCCCTGGGTCCCTCCCCACAGTTGTCTGTGGGGACAGCTGCTGGGTATCAGCTGGCAGGGCTGTGTTGGGGGAGCCGCAGTTGGCTGAGGGCCCCCAGCTGTTGGGCATCTGCTGGGGGGAGGACTTATGGGATGGGGGTTCAGGTGTGAAGATTTCGGTGCAGACCAGCTGGGAAGGGGCCACCCAGTACCCCCCTCATCACCTGCCTCAGGAATGGGGACAGTTTCTCCTCTTTTTTTGCTTCATGTTTTCTGAGATTTCCACATCACTTTTTTGTAAGCACCAGGCTATTAGCCATGTGTGGACACAGCCAGGTGGGCTGCTGAGACCAGCTGTGCGCGGACCTGGGTGTCCCCTGGCTGGCCCTGGGTGGGACCTGGGTGGCCTCTGGCTGGCCCCGGGCAGGACCTGGGTGGCCGCTGGCTGGCCCTGGGCGGGACCTGAGCGCTGGGTGTTCCCCAACTGCACCAGGTTATCTGTGGGAGTTTCTCTTTGGGTCAAGGAAGTGTTTCCCTGCTCCTCACAGAGCAACACCAAGGAGGCTGCTGTCCCGCACTCCCCGAGTGTCTGATGGCCTCTGTGGGTCAGCAGGCCGGCTGCCCTGTGGGCCAGGGTCTCCTGTGTGTGTCTTTTTTTCTTTGTTCAATTTATTTTTCTTCCTTTTAAGGAAGTTAATTTTGCACCCACACTGAGGAGTTCTCTGCCACAGCCCAATGGAGGCTCAGCCAGTTCCTGCTCTCTCTTAGGCGGAAAACACCCCCACAGAGGTGTGGCTGCGCCCTGGGGCCAGTGAGGGCGTGCATGGGGCACAGGCAGTGAAGGAGGCCTGCCTGAAGCAGGCCTGGCTCCCAAGCCGCTGGGAGCTGGTGGGCAGGTGGCCAGCGTGCCCCTTACCGCCCTCTCTTCCTCGCCCAAGGCGCCTAAGAAGAAGGGGAAGAAGGGGAGAGCCAAAGGGACCCCGGTTGTCGACGGGCTTGCTCCTGAGGACATGAGCAAGGAGCAGGTAAGCAGGCTGTGCCCGACTGTCCACCCGCAGCCCTGGCCAGTCGTGGCCCCAGCCTCCCGGGAGTGCCCGACGCCAGGGACACGCCCCGCCCACCCATGTGATGCCACAGACACACCCCACCTGCTCGCGAGACGACACGGACTCTCCTGCCCTCTCGTGTGACGTGTTAATACCTCCCCTGGCTTGTCTTTTTTTTTTTTTTTAAAGATTTATTCATGCATACAAGAACTGGGTTGCAGGCTAGAGGTGCAGGGTGTGAGGGGTGAGAGGACGCACCAGAGACAGAGTGGGGAGTAGAACAGGCAGATCCACTGAGATTCACTGCTGAGGGGAGCAGTGGGGAGACAAGAGAGGTCTGCTGCGCCATGTGGGTAGCTCCCTGGCCGGGGATCAAACTCGTGCTGCAGAGGCTGCGGACAGCTTCACAGGTTGTGTCTTAACCGCTTGGGCCACCGGGGAGACCCCTGGCTGGTCTTTTGGCAGTTTGAAGTTGACAAAGAACAAGCCCGGGGAGACTGACAGGGCCATGTGGACAGAAGTGGGGGTCTGCAGGAGGCCATGCTGGTGGAGCGGCCTTGTTTTACCCTCAGGAAGCAGAGGCCTCGGGGAGTGTTGGGCCAGCTTCTGAAGCCTCTCAGGGCAGTGCCTGCACTGAAGGCCACCCTGCCTGCACGCCGCCTCAGGCTGAGCCCTGGCCTTCTTGGGAACCCCGTCCCTGGAATCAGAGCTGCGGCTGTCCCCCTGTGCCAGCCGGAGGGGTGGTGCTGCCCTGGGCGCCTGGGGCGGCGCTGTTTCTGTTTATGAGAATCTAGAAATCGGATATTTTTAAGAGCCGTAAAAACGGAGAGAGGAGGCGAGCAAACCATGCGAGCCTGCCAGGCCTGTGCTCCAGGCTCGTCTGCTGGACCCTGGCTGGCGCTGCTGCCCCCTGCGCCTGCGGCCCCCCTCTCCAGGCGGAGGGCGTCCCAGGGAGCAGGGCTTGCTGGAGAGGAGCTCTGCGGCAGCCGCACTCAGAAGACGCCCCACCTCTCCTTGGTCCCAGGAGCAGCCCTTTGTGGTCCCAGGAGTAGCCACTGGCGGCACTGCCGTGGGGGATGCCTGCTGCTGCTGGCTGCCCCCGCACCTCCGGTCCCCAGGGCGTGTCCCCTCCACTGCTTCGCAGGAGACCCCAGGCTACTCTGTGCTGCAGGCCGTTCCGGCCGCCTTCCTCGGGGAGGCTGCGTATCACCCCCATTTCCACCTTCGTGGCGTGCTCGGCCTGGTGTCCACAAGTGAGACTGGGCCCAGATGGGCCATGATGCTGACCCCGAGGGACTCTGGGCCCCGAGGAGGCTGCCCCCCACCCCTCTCGCTCCAGGGCCCGGCCCTGTGGGTCCTCATGGCTGCCCCGCTGGCCGCCTGTGCTCTTGTGGACTCGCGCCCTCGCTCCTCTTGCCTCTCGGAGGTGACGGCGGGTTCCACACTGTGCCTTTGGGAAGCATAGGACATCATGCTCAGGCTCCCCTGTGGGCACGCAGGCTTGCCAGCACCAGCAGCCGCCCGCGCCTGCTGTGTGGCACCCCCGCCACGCCGGCCAGTGACAGCCAGAGTGTCTGGATCGTTCTCTGGTGGATTGCCTTGGGCTGGTTTCCTTTGGTGTTTCTGTGGCTGTGGTGGGGGGTGCCTTGTCCTGAGATGCCTCCTGGTCCCAGTGCGCCCCACTCGGCCCCCCTGGCTTCCGATGACTTGCCTTTCAGTTTTCCTGCTTCCAGGGGAGAGAGGCCCCGCTTTGCTGCTGGCAGGCCCGGGGCCTCACGGGCTGCTCCGCCCCAGGTGGAGGAGCATGTCGGGCGCATCCGGGAGGAGCTGGACCGGGAGCGGGAGGAGCGGAACTACTTCCAGCTGGAGCGGGACAAGATCCACACTTTCTGGGAGATCACGCGGAGGCAGCTGGAGGAGAAGAAGGCTGAGCTGCGGAACAAAGACCGGGAGATGGAGGAGGCCGAGGAGCGACACCAGGTGGAGATCAAGGTGAGGGGCCGACGCGGAGAAGCCAGTGTGCGCCATCGCCTGGGAACCAGAGGGGCGGCCAGGAAAGAGCAGTGTGTGTGTGGGGTGTGCGTGTGGCGTGCGTGTGGGGTGTGCATGTGGGTTGTGCGGGCGGGGTGGGCGGGGCGGGGCCGTGCCCACGTGTGCAGTTGCGTGGCGAACAGGCCCCGCCCGCAGGTGTATAAGCAGAAGGTGAAGCACCTGCTGTACGAGCACCAGAACAACCTGACGGAGATGAAGGCGGAGGGCACGGTGGTCATGAAGCTGGCGCAGAAGGAGCACCGTGTGCAGGAGGGCGCGCTGCGCAAGGACGCACGGGCGCTGAAGGTGGAGCTCAAGGAGCAGGAGCTGGCGAACGAGGTGGTGGTGAAGAGCCTGCGGCTGGTAGGTGTGCGGCCGTGGGCTGACGCCTCTGCTGCGCCTGGGAATTCAGGCTTTCTGCACAAATGCTTGCGTGTTGGCAAATTCATCGAAATTAAAAAAGACGTTGGCAGCCAGCCAGACCCCATGGGGGCCAGGCCCAGTATCCCTGCAGAGCAGCAAACTGGCTGCCCACAGGGATGCCCAGCTTGCCAGCCCTGGACCTGGACCTGCAGCTGGGCCTACGTGCCCGCCGAGCTCAGGACTTTGGGTCCCTTCTGGGCGAGGCTGGGCTCTGGGATGAGGCTGGCGTGCGCTTGCCAGTGCCCATTGGCCCCCAGGGACAGAGAGTGAGCAGCCCGTCCAATGCCCGCTAGGGTGCTGCTGGCTGGGAGGGGGATGGTGGAGGCGAGGGTAGGGCTGGTAGCCTCACAGGCCACCTGGGGGGACAGGGGTGGGGGACAGGGGTGGCCGAAGTGGGACGCGGAAGGTTTGGGTCGAGGGAGTTTTCTTTTGTTTTTCTTTAGTTTTTTTATTTTCTGTCAGTTTTGTTTTTCCCACCACCAACTCGTACGCCCCGAGCCCCTCCCTCCTCCTCCTCTTACTCGACCTCAGAAACTTTGCCCCTTGCTTGTTAAGGCCCCCAGGTCTTTACAAGTACGGGGCTCTGTCTGGGCCACTGCGATGGGAAGGGCCCAGGTTGACCTGTGTGGCCCAGGGGCTGTCCCCCTGTGCTTCCGGCAAGTTACCGCCAGTGGCTCTGTCTCCCCTCGGGCTGAGCATGTCCTGGCGCGGCTGACCCCATTTTTCTGACCAGACCCTCAGGGGTGGTGTCTTTGCCCTGACTGTTGTCAGTCCTGCCACTGTGGATGCTGGAGGGTGTCGTGTCTTGAGTTGGTGGTTTTGTGTTCGTGGGGTAGATGCCGGGAGCGGACTCCTGGGGCGCATGGTGTTCACGTTTTCAGAATTTTGTTGTTGTTTTTTAAAATTTTAATTATTTTTTTTTAAAGAAAAAAATTTTTAAAAAGACTTATTTATTTATGCATACAAGAACTGGGGTGTAGGCCAGAGGTGGGGGGGTGAGAGGACTCACCAAAGAGTGGGGAGTAGTACAGGCAGATCCACAGAAATCCACTGCTGAGGGGAGCGGCGGGGAGGCAGGAGAGGTCTGCTGCACCCTGTGGGTAGCTCCCTGGCCGGGGATCGGACTCAGGCTGCAGCAGTGACAGCCTGAGACTGACCCGCAGGGAGGCCTCTCGAGTTTTCAGGTCAATCCAGGTCGCCCTCTGTTATGCTGCCCCAGTTCTCACCCTGAGGGCTGTGCAATATTGCCTCTTTCTCGCCCTCTTAGCAGCACCTGTGGTGAGGGGTCGGGTTGCCGAGCTGGGGCTGGGTGCGAGAGGCTGCTGCAGCCCAGTAACGCGCTTGTGCGTTTGCAGAAACACACCGAGGAGATCACCAAGATGCGGAACGACTTTGAGAGGCAGGTGCGAGGTCAGTCCCCACACACGGCGGGTGGGCTGGGCTGTCGGCAGGAACGAAGTGGCCGCAGCGCGCTGGAGGAGACCCGAGGCGGAGGGCGACCTGCTGTGCGGGTGACCACCACCGGGGTGGCCGCCATCGCCGACCTGTCCTGACTCCGCGCCACTTAGAGAAGGGATGGTTCCCAGTCTCGTGGCCAGCGTGGCAGAATAGTCTTCACCGTGGTTCCCGATCTGGGGGAGTTTGTCGGTGACCAGCGTAGCCCAGAGCCAGGGCAACTGGGGGCAGCGATGCAGCCTGGGGGGACCAAGGGACCCCGGGGCGTGGCCTCGTCTTCCGGGCGGAGCTGGGCGCCTGTGCCTCGACCTCCACCGCGCCCTGCCCTGCTGAGCCGCGCTGTGTGCTGCTGCCCCCAGAGATCGAGGCCAAGTACGACAAGAAGATGAAGCTGCTCAGGGACGAGCTGGACCTGCGGAGGAAGACGGAGATCCACGAGGTGGAGGAGCGCAAGAACGGCCAGATCAACACGCTCATGCAGCGGCACGAGGAGGCCTTCACGGACATCAAGAACTACTACAACGACATCACCCTCAACAACCTGGCGCTCATCAACTCCCTCAAGGTGCCCCATCGTGCTGGCTGCGCCCTCTCCTGTGGCCTGAGTGGTCTGGGAGCTGGGGGAGGCGCCTGGTCGCTGAGACGGCTTCTGCGTCCTGGAGAAGCCCGGTGGGGGCCCCTCGGTCCTGTGGAATCTGCAGCAGAGAAATGCGGCCTCAGCCTAAGCCGCAGGCGCGCTTGAGCTGCACACCACAGGCCCGGCCCGCCGGCTGAGCCCCGCCGTGCGTGCCCACAGGAGCAGATGGAGGACATGCGGAAGAAGGAGGACCGCATGGAGAAGGAGATGCTGGAGGTGTCCCTCCAGAACAAGCGGCTGGCAGACCCCCTGCAGAGGGCGCGGGAGGAGATCGGGGAGCTGCAGCGCAAGCTGGGCAGCTATGAGAGGGACAAGCAGATCTTGGTGGTGAGTCCGGCACCCTCCGCGGCAACTTCTGGCAGGCTCCGCGAGGGGTGCCCGTCCTGCCACCGGCAGGGCTGGCAGCAGCCCCTCATGGGTGTCGTGCTCCGGGACCGGTGCCCCTGCCACCCTCCCTGGAGGGCCTGGGCCTGCCTCTGGGCAGCTCTCTGTGCCATGGCCCAGGCCCTGTGGCCTGGGACTGCCTGACTTCTACCCTTTCTGTCCCTGCCTCCTCTCCCCAGTGCACAAAAGCACGTCTGAAGGTCACAGAGAAGGAGCTGAAGGGCCTGCAATGGGAGCATGAGGTGCTGGAGCAGCGTTTCCTCAAGGTGGGGCCACCGGGGTCCCTGCAGGCTCACCCAGATGGCGAGGGTCTTTCTGTGCATGGGTGTGTTTTCAAGCGCAAAACTGAGGGGCCGTTGGAGATGAGGCCTCGGGTACAGCCTCTGTGAGGGGTGCAGGACCCCCACTGCCTGTGCAGGCCAGGCCAGCAGCTTCCTCCGCCCCCTCCAGACTTCCTCTGTGCCAGGAAGGTGGGCCCGGCAGAGCACACCTTAAACTCACTCGGTGTGGCTGTGACCCCGGTGTCAGCCTAGCTGATCCCCAGGGCTGCTGGGCCACATGTATGAGGCAGGGTTGTGGCGCCAGGAAAGTCCGTTCCCAGAGCTGCTGGCCAGGAAATCCATGTGCAGAATGCGACCGCGGCCGGGGAGCAGTCCTGTGCAGCCCTGCGGGTGGGCTGGGTGGGAATCGCCTCCCCGGCGTATGCTTCTGAGAAGCCGTGCCCACTGCGGCGCTCTCTGGGGTCTCAGGCGCTTTCCAGGGGGGTCTCCTTCCATCTCCAGGGGTCTCTGGTGGCCTCTGGGGGAGTCTCCTATCTCTGGTGGTGTCTCCAGGGCTCTCCGGGGGTCTCTGGGGCTCTCTCTGGTGGTCTCCATTGGTCTCCAGGGGTGGGGGGGGCGGGTGTCTTTGTTGGTCTCCCGCCGTCTCTGGGCCCAGCGCTTTCTGCTTCTGGGCGGTCAGGACAGGCCCTGCCTCCCCTCACTGAGAGTTGCAGAAGTCCAAGGAGGCAGAGCCAGATCTCCAGAACTGCTCTCGCTGCCTCACAGTCGGCCCTTAGAGACCCGCTTGCTGGCTGGGGGACCTCCTGCCCTCAGGGCGGACTGGGTGGCCCCTGGCGGCGCATTAAGCCTCAGGGATAGACGACAGGGGGCATGGGGCATGCAGTGGGGGGGAGGGGGCGAGGGGTGGCCGCCAGTAGGGCCAGCGGAGCTGCACGTGGCTTGCACAGGTTGGGGCCGTGGGGCTCGGCCTGGGCAGTGCGGGTGCTCCCGTGAGGCTGCAGCCCTGGGCCACCCAGCCGGGGCTGCAGGGAGGCCTGGGCGACCTCCCTTCCTGAAGATGCCCTCTGTGGTGCCTCCGTGTCCGCCTCCGTGCAGGTGGCCGACTGGGCTGGCCAACCTGTCAGGCCATAGACCCTGCGCCCCGGGTGGAGCCCGTGACCAGGGCTTTGCCCTCTTTGCCCGCCAGACCAGGAGGAATGTCCCAAGGGAATGTGCTTCTGCCAAAGTCAGTACCTCCTTAGGGACCCGCAGTGCCTACTGGTCAGCAGTGGAGCCCGAGCAGTGGGGCCCGCGGGAGGGGCGGGGCCTGTGGGCAGGGGGCGGGGCCGCAAAGACAGGCCTGGCCTGAAAGGGGGGCACCTGCAGGGCCACCCCGGGTCCGCTCTCTGGGCCTGGGGATCCATGCGCAGCACCCGGAAGGGTCATCCCAGATATCTTGAGGGCGGCCGCGGGAAGCGGGTGAGGGGGATGATCGCTTTTCACACCTTGTGAAGTCCCTTAATTTCTAGTCGCAGTAAAAGGAAGGGGTCAGGGGGTGCTTCTGGGAGGGAGGAGGAGGCGTGGGGGGCCACAGCACTGGTTTGGTGGAGGTGGGACACAACCCCAAAGCCAGACAGGTGAACAGAAGTCAGTGGAAAATAAGGCCTTTAGAAAGGACCTTTGTGGGCTGACGGGCATGGCCCCGTGCCAGGCTGGGGGCTGCACTGGCTCTGCCTCCGGCCTAGTGGGGGTCCGGCCATAGCTGGTGGGAGGCCCCGGCCAGGGCACGACTGGGCGCCCCAGGGTGATCCAGGGCGCTGCCCGTTGGGCTGGGGCTCAGTGAGGGGGTGCCTGGGTCCTCTGAGGGAGGCTCTGGCAGAACTTCCTGTGCGGTGGCTCGGTGACTTTATTAAGGAGCAACATCTGCGCAGGCAGGAGCTGCCCTCTTGAAAGGGCAGATCAGTGAAGGAAAAGATGCCCACACAGACGCAGCCGGGCAGCCCCGAAAGCACAGGACATAGCCCCCCACTCCCAGCAGGCCCTGCTCGCTCTTGGTCCCTCTGTGTGCAGTGGCCGGGTGCTCTGTCGCCAGCTGCCCACCCCCCACCCCCGCTCCTCCTGGGGTCCTCCACACGGGTTTGGGGCTGCTGGGGAAGAGCCTGTGTTCTTGCTCGGCCCCGACGCTGGCCTGAGGCCGACACAGGCCGCCCCCAACCTCTGTGTGCTGATGGCGGGCAGAGCCACCTGACCCCTGACGCTGGCAGGTGCAGCAGGAGCGGGACGAGCTCTACCGCAGGTTCGTGGCGGCCGTGCTCGAGGTGCAGCAGAAGGCGGGCTTCCGGAACCTGGTCCTGGAGCACAAGCTGCAGGCACTCGGTGCCGCTGTGGAGAAGAAGGAGGTGCAGCTCAGCGAGGTGCTGGCGGCCTCCAACCTGGACCCCGCGGCCCTGACCCTTGTGTCCCGGAAGCTGGAGGTGGGTCTCGCAGTGCCCGAGCCCCTGCCCTGGGGACCCTCCTTCCTGGCCCATGCAGGCCATGGCGGCCCCGTGCGCCCTAGCTCTTCGGCCTTGGGTGGCCTCTCTGGGGTCTTAGTGGCTCCTCAGCCCCTCGCGACCTCTCCTTCCTGAGGCCCTGCCCATTGGGTCTCGGGTGGGCTTCGCAGCTGCAGGCCCTGGGCGCAGCCAGGGTGAGAGGCCCAGCAAGGGGAGGCCAGTGCCTCTCTGCTCTGGGATCCAGTTTGGAGGGATACAGGCTGAGGTGCAGTGAGTGGGGCCAGCTGCACCCCAAGTTTGGGGCTGGGGGGCAGCCATGGAAGGCTCTGGGGGAGGACTGTGTGGCAGGTGGGCAGGTGGGGGCGGCGGCACCTGTGTGGGCAAGGGCGGGGCTGGGTGTCCAAGCCAGTGGTTTTGGCTGAGGATGAGCGTCTGTGGGGGCTGAGGCTCTGGGCTCAGTGGGGACAGGCTTTGGGGTTTGGCCCAGCCTTGTGGTCCTAAAGGGGAGGAGTCTGTCCCTCCCCATTCCGGGCAGTGGCCGGGCTCAGCCGTGCCAGGCTGGACAGCAGCCCTGCCCATGGCGGTCACTGCAGCTGTGCTGGGTTCGGGCCGGCCACAGCGGTGCCTCCCGAGCTGCACTGGTGGCAGGGGCTGCAGAGCCAGGCCAGCCAGCCCTTCACCTTGGAGACTGTGGCCGTGGAGACGGTTCTGTGCCGGCTGCCCCATGGGGCCCCCAGACCCCACTGGCTTCCGCCCATGCAGGGCTCAGTCTCACCCCAGCCTTCACTGCAGGACGTCCTGGAGTCCAAGAACAGCACCATCAAGGACCTGCAGTATGAGCTGGCCCGCGTCTGCAAGGTGGGTGCCCACCCTGCCCCCCATCTCCCCCTGGGCCCCAGGTGGGACCCGCTCACGCCCCGCCTGTCTTGGAGCCCCTGGCCAGGTTGGGTGGGTGCACGTCAGTCTCGTCCCCCCAGTGGCCTCCCTGGCCCCTTGTCTCCATCCCAGTGCTATCTTGGCCTTTGGGGCATGGAGGGGCCTCCTCTGCCCCAAGATTGATGCCACGACCTCCAGCAGGCAAGGCAGACGTGGTCTTCTCCAGCCCCTCCCAAGGCTAATAGTAGCCACCACCCTGCCTGGGGGAGGCCAAAGCGTCAGTGCTGACCCTGCCTGGCTTCCCCGGGGGCCCTGGGCACATTCACCAGGAGCTGCCCCATGAGAGGCTCAGGCCCACCCCAGGGGAGCTAGGGAGGCTGTGCCCGTGGGTGGGGAGGGGCTCCTGTGTCCAGGCCACCTGGCTTTCCCTTACCCTCCCAGCCTCACCTGGACCCCCCCATGCTCTGGTGCCCACCACTTGTGTGCACAGAAGCAGGGCCTCTGCTTCCCTGGGTGGTAGGGCTGGACTTGCATCTGGCCACAGGCAAGGGTGAGGCACCGGCCCAGGGCCACTCTCTGGAGCTGGCCCTGCTTCACCTTGGCATTGGCCTCCCTGGACACATACACAGGACTCTCTAGACCCTGCCCGGAGCCTGCCCTCCAGAGAGATCCACTTCCCAGAGTGGGAACAGGGCCAGGGCTGTGGCCTGTGTGGGCGGGGCGGGGGCGGGCAGGGAGGAGCTATCTGCTGCCCCAGCCGCATGGTTACTAGGCAGGTCACTGACCGGTGTCCATGCTCCGCCCACAGGCCCACAACGACCTGCTGCGGACCTACGAGGCCAAGCTCCTGGCCTTTGGGATCCCCCTGGACAATGTGGGCTTCAAGCCCCTGGAGACGGCTGTGGTGGGGCAGATGCTGGGCCAGGGCCCCGCGGGGCTCGTGGGCACCCCGACATAGCCCCTGAACGATGCCCTCACACACAAGGGCCTCCGAGGCTTCAGTCATTAGCAAATGAAGGTTCTCCACATCTGCTGCATGTCCTCTTGCCTGTGGGGGCAGCCCCAGCCCCACCCCGAGGCTGCCCTTCTTGCCCTCCACAGGCTTTGCTGCAGCAGCTGGAGACAACAGTGGCAGGCCAGCACCACCTTTATTGGCACCGAATCACAGGCCTGGCCACGGGGCCCCTGGCCGCCCTGGCAGAGGGTGGATGGTGGGTGGACGGTGGGCGGACGGGGCGCAGCGTTAGCTCCCCCGGTATGTGGTGTAGGACCACGGGCTCAGCAGCAGGGGCACGTGGAACTTGTGGGTCTCATTTGTGATGGTGAAAACCACCTGCGGAGCAGAAAGGGTGCTGCATGAGGCCCTGGGTGCCCACCGAGAAGGGCTGAGGGGGCCGACTCTCCCAGACAGCAGGCCTGAGGGCCCAGCTCTCAGGGGCCAGGGGAGAGGGCGGTGGGTTAGGCGCCGACCGCCTGGGTGAGTCACCCTCGCCCTGCCCGTGCCCGGGGCCTGGGCTGTGAAGTCCCCGCTGCCTGGGCTGGGCCCCTTTGTTCTGGAAGCTCAAAGCCACGGCTGTCAGGGCCCGCCCGGGCAGTGGCGGGGCTCACCTCCACGTAGGGGTAGAAACTGGCCTGCCCCTGCCTCCTCCAGTAGCCCTCCGTGTCGAAGAACAGCTTGTAGGTGCCCACCTTCATCTGGCCTGGGGGCAGGAGCCCCGGGCAGCGGCCGTCCAGGTTGGTGTAGCTGGGGAAGAGGACAGGTGCTGCCATGGCAGCCGGGCCCTGCTGGGGTCCAGCAGGCCCACCTGGGAGGGGCAGCACAGCCTAGCCTCCCCGTGCAGCAGCGCTCTGTGCCTGCCCTACTGCCCAGACGCTGCCCAGCACCCATGCAGACTCTGAAAGCAGAGTGCTGGGGTCTGCTGTCTGGTGGCCTCAGCGCCTGTTTCCTGGCCCGCGTGCCGCACTTGGTCCACAGCCAGCCCCGTCGGCCTGCTCCAGGGGCTCCCCAGCGAGGGGGCCTGGGCCTGCGGCCATACCCCATAAGGACCAAGTCCTGTGTCTCTGTCTGTCCACGGGGCTAGGGGCAGAGAGCCTGGACAGGCCAGCCATGGGGGGTGGAACGCACCTTCTGCAGGCCTTGGGGTCCAGCCCCACCTGTACGGGCAGAGGGAGCCACCCCCTCCAAGAGGAGGGTCGGGGCTGCTGGGGTGGTCGGGCCTGTGGGGTGACTGCGGGGCCAGCAGTGGCGGCCTGAACTGCGGGGGTGACTGCAGGGCCGGCTGGGGCCACTGGGCCTGTGGGGGTGACTGCGGGGCTGGCAGGGGCGGCCAGGCCTGGGGGGGTGCTGTGGGGCTGGCAGGTGTGTCGGGCAACGCGAGGAGCAGAATGGGTGCTCCGGGCCGCCTGGCACACAGTCCCAAGCTCGGTCCCCTGCTTGAGACTCGGAGACAAGACTCCACACCTGGCCTTCACTGCCCACCCCACCAGCCCTGATGAATTGGGCTCCAGGGGCTGTGGGCAGTGGTCAGCCCAGCCCAGCCTCAGAGCCAGAAATCCTTGTTTGTCCCGGGCCCCTCACCTCTGCCCTGCAGGCCAGGACTCGGGGTGGCCTGAACCCCCTCCCAGGACCCCCTACCTTTTTGTCAGCTCAGTCCACTGCTGGCTGTGGTCCTCGAGCCTGGACAGTTGGAGGCAGAGGCCCTGGGCCGGGAGCCCTGAGGCCGTGTCCAGCACGTGTGTGGTCAGTGGGCTGCTGGCCGGCTCCATACCTCTGCCCTGGGCCACGGGAGGGGTAGGGTGAGCCTTGTGTCCACACGGCCTCAGAGCAAACAGCCCCTGGACTGAGGCCAGACTGCCCCAGGGCCTGGGGTGCCCTGAGTCACTGAATCAGCAAAGGCCCTGGAACCCTGCGCAGCTACAGGTGCCGCCAGGCCCGACCCCACCCCCGACCCCATCCCCAGGGGCCGCCTCCCCTGCCCACTGGAGCCCCTTCCCCAGCCAGGCCCCCTCCCAGCCTGGGCCTGGCCTGGGCCCTTGCAGAACCGGGCTGTCGCGGCTGGCGGGTCTTCCCCCGCTTGGTCCCTCTCACCCTCCCCCACACGTAACCCCACCCGCAGACAGGGGTGCGGGTCCAGGAGCCCCTACCTCGGGGGAGCCCAGGTGTCGCTGCAGCGTGCGCAGGCGCGGGGCTGCCCGGGAGCTCATGCCCGCGGGGCTCGGACTTCGCGGGGACAGAGGTCGCCCCGCGCCCCGCCCTCCGCGCCTCCCGCCCCGCCCCCCCCGCCCTCGCCTGACCAGCCGGCCCTGCCCCGCCCCGCCCTCCCGCGCTCGGGCCACGCGTTCCCGGACCGGCCGGGCGGGGCGGGGCGGGCGTCCCCTCGGGGCCCACGGGGGCCAAGGCCCGAGAGGTCGGCCCGCGGGCGGGTCCCCAGGACGGGCCGGCCGCACTGACCTGCGCACCCGAGCTCCTCGGCGGAAGTGGCGCGGGGCCGGGCGGGGCGGGGCGGGGGGGCTCGGGGGCGGGCGGGGCGGGGGGGGCCCGGGCGGGGCGGGGCGGGGGGGGCTCGGGGGCGGGGCGGGCGGGGGGGGGACTCGGGGGAAGGGCGGGGCGGAGGGGGACTCGGGAGCGGCGGGGGCGGGCGGGGCGGGGGGACTCGGGGCGGGGGGCGGGGCGGGGCGGAGGGGGGACTCGGGGCGGAGGGGGACTCGGGGCGGGGCGGGCGGCGCGCGGGCGGCGGCGCGGGCTGGGGAGCAGGCGCAGGACCCGACCTCTCCCGCGGCCAGTCCCCGAGCCTGAGCCCAGCCCGACCCGGCGCCGCGTCCGCGCCCGAGACGCTGAGTGTGACCTGGACGCCCGGGTCCCTGCGCCCCGCCTCGGGTCCCCCCCGCCCCGCGGGCTCGTGACGGCGCCTCCGCGCTGGGAGTCGGCAGCAAGGACGCCCGGGCCGGGGGGCCGGGGGGCCCGGGGGGGCGGGGGGCGAGGATCTGCGCTCCTGCCTCTCCGCCGCCCACCTGCGCGCGCCCGAGCCGCCGGCGCCCGCCGGGCAGGTGAGGCGGAGCCGCCGGAGCGCGGGCCGGGAGGGGCGCGTCCCGCGCCGTCCGCGGACAGAGACCGGGCAGCCGGGGGTCGGCGCGGTCTCCGCCTGGTCCCCCCGCCGGACCCCCCGCCCTGCCCGGCCTTTCTAGTGGC